TTAAAGAGTCAGATCTGGTAATTGTGATGAGAGTGCGGGCGAATTTTGTAACCTCTTCTCAAATGGTTAATGATATATTAAAATATATAATCACATATTAAAATCTTGATAAGATGTATATAAATGGTCTAAGATCACTACTATCAATGATTTTTTTGACCTTCATTGTTTACTCATAACATTGCCATTCTTCACATTTTACCCACTTCTAAGAATTTTCTTTTACATGCTTTCTGGTCTTGTGCTTTGGCTTTCAGTTTCTTTTTCCCATCAATAATCTGCATTCTTCTTCTTCCTAGTCCTGCAAGTCCTTCTATTTTGCTTTTGAAGAAGTCGTGCAGCAGGCACTCTACTTGCAACATGGGTTCGATCCAGTTTCCTTTTCTTTTCATGTAGAGCTTTAGTAGGATTCTTTGTTCGCCTAATTATCTCACCATTTATTATCTTATCTGTCCACTTTATCTTCTCCCTTCGTCTCTAACATCACATTTTAAAACTTTCCAGAAAGTTTCTGTAGACCTTTCTTAGAGTCCATGTCTCTGATCCGTACAGAGACAGACATGTTTCAGACATCACACTTTATTACCTTCATATGAAATTAGATTTTCAACTAGTGTTAATTTAAAAAAATGACGTAAACAATTCGGATTTTTTTTAAAAATACACATCTTATATCTCTGAGACGTAAAAATATTTATAACTTAAATATTTATTTAAAAAAAAACGAGAATTATATAATTTCAGCCCTTTCAATAAATTCTTAAATCTTGAGTACATAAAAACGATTCAGGTTTTATGCATACCTGTGGGTAAAGCATTTTACGTAAACTTTTGTTTACAGGTAACCATTTGGACAGTTCTTTCAGTATGTGTTTAATATTTAAAATTGATGTAATTTCGAGAAAAGAGTATATATAAGAAAAATTTAATAGTACACCTGCTGTATTTTTTCAAGTTTTCCGTTCTCAAGGCTGTCGAAAATGTTTCAGGTAATTATCAAATCCTTTTGTAAATATTATTTATTTATTATATCAATTACTCATTGCCCGGTCAATTTAAAACTAAAATCAGAGTAAAGATTACAATAGTTCATAACGGGCTGTAACATGGTAAAATTGCTTAAAATACAATTATAAAAGAAATCTCAAAAGTTCTCATCGTTCCGGTGCGAGCTAAAAAATTGGCACAAGGTCAAAGGTGAAAAAAATTATTTGTTTGCGATTACCAGCTAAATGGTCAGTTTCATCGCAAAATTACCTGAGAGAAAATTATAGAGCATGAAATTATCTACAACAAATGTATTAAACATTATTTTCTTCAGAGCCACTGTTTTAAAGATATCACTTTGAAAAGTACGTTTAAAAAGTATACTTAGCGCGTTTTTTTAAACAACTATTAATACTAAATTTCGAAATATTTGATTCCTGTGATGAATTATTTATTTTATAAAATATTACAAAAATATAGTAATACTATTTGAATTCACGAAATGATTATCATATTTACAACGTTCAGAGCAGGCCTAGATGAAATTCGCAAATACTCATAACTAAAATAAATTATTAACATTTTACAATTATTACTAGCTAAAATAATTTCAATGTTTATTTCACGCGCTCAAGGCAATTTCAATTATTTCATTGTCCTTTCAAACCAAAATATGCAAAACGGCATATATAGCATACTTCAAAATTTATATCACATAATTATTATAATCACATACCTAATTTTAATGCAATAGTGAATTATGTTTACTTCGCCGACCATTCAATGGTTTTTATGAGCTAAGTATAAATAATAAATTTATGATTGCTACAAACAACGCGTACAACTTACGAATGACTTGAAATTTCATAACAAATTTAATAAAAGAATTGACTAAAACAATAATTCATAGTAAAAAATACTTAAGAGAACAATATTATACAATAGATTTTTTACAATGAAATTACCTAAACTAACTAAAATTATCTAAAAATATCTAAGAATATTTTAATATAAATAAAAGCTAAAAGATAATAATACAATACGCATAAACGGGGAACACAGTCACGCAAAATTAATACTATTTTTGATTAATTACTTCATCCAAAGTTTTCGAAATGATGGATGAAGTATGGCAGCTTTCTTCCCTTGTTGACTTCTTCGCAAGCAGACATAACACTCTTAGTTAAAGGTCGAGGACCGCAACTAAATACTCCTATTTTGCTAACCTTTAAATAAAAAATGTAGTATAGTATCATTTATTATAACTAGCATCAGTTAGTAAACAAAAAGCATGATTTTTTTTAAAATAAATATAATATGGCCATATGCCAGACTACAAAATAAGTGCAAACATTTGGTCACTTTGGTGATGATCATAAACTTGGAACAGGACCATGAATCATGTTATGATAATAATAATAATAATAATGAGTAGTATACTGTCTTAGAAGAGTGTGAGATATTTCCATGCACAAAAAGGGCTATTTTCAATTGGTAACATTTTCTGATTTATATTTTCAAGTAAAAATGGGCATCCCTCTGCTGCACGTTAAACGAGCCAGAACTTAATTAAATGTTTACAACAACACAAAAATAATTTAAAAAATTGCAAACAATTCAAAACTATGCTTGCGGACCACACTAATACTTTAAAACACAACAGACTTTTTTAGCCCGACTGTACTACAATTGGAACAAAATTTATTTAAACAAAGAATAAAAGAAGGATCTGTTTTAATTATTTATAACAATAGAACAATAAATAAGCCAAATGAACTCGACACGCAATGCGACTCAAATCTCTTTTATTTAGATAGCATTCCCAAATTTCTGCAAAAACAATAAAAATGTCGCGCAAGGGATTCGCAGTTCGTTCCACACATGACATATGTAGAATCTTGGTGAAAATATTAAAAAAAAATTTTTTTTTTCCATTATGACTTCAACTAACGAGCAACACATATATTACACACTATATATTTGTGATTATTTTAAGTTAGTATTTTGTGAAATATTGTTTAATTACAAGTTTAATGTTTATATTACATAGTGTAGTGCATTGCCATATCCCGATATCATGGATTATTAGAATTTTCTAATTTAACACTAAGATTAATTAATTGTAAGTACCTTTTACTCTTTATATTTTTTTCACTTCAATTAGCTTGCACTTGATGGCGCAAGAATTTACTTAATGGCATATGTTAATAATATATATATAAAATTTTAATTAAAGTGCGGTCTATCTAAATGTTAAAATTAAAAGCTAAAACTATTAAAATTTATTTTTTAAATTTGGAAGCACTTGAGCTCTTAGAAGCAAAAAAAAATCGAAAATGTTCGTATTAAAGACCTCCCTAATGTATATATATATATATATATATATATATATATATAAATAAATTTGTGGGAGCATAAACTATTCAATATATTTTAATTTGTTTGAATTGTTCTTGCTAAAATGCTTACCATCAATAACTCTATCTTTTTATAGGTAGTTACCACTTATCTCGAAACAAATTTACTTTCCTACTCTTGATTCATTATGGATTATTTAGAAGCATGATAAATTGATACTTACATAACTATGTTTCTTTTGAACAAATTTCAAAAACGAAGACATATCTGGTCTTCCAAAATGATTCACAGCTTTCAACCCCGTAAACATCGACATCTTCGATAGTCTTTGGAAATGATTTTCACAAATATACTGTAATATTAAATACACTTGAAATAGTAACAAATTCGAATTATATTTGTTTTTTTTATTCAATTATATTATTATTCTTACCAGCATAGTAGTTCTCAAATCGAATTTGTGAAAGAATTGGGTGATAAATATATGGATTTCGAGCACGTTTGTTACGTCTTTTTTCTCGACGTCCCTAAGCACATCGATAAACCATTCGAAATGCTTATGCGACGGGCAAATCCATAGGAAATACACCTGTAAAGAAAATAAATCACATTGAAAAAGTTCGATCACTTCAAAGTATATATGAGGAACTGAGATAAACAAGCATTGAAAATTCGTAAGCTTTTATCTGAAATTGTATAGGAAACACCCAAAGTACAATCACTAAACACATTGCAAATTCTATTTGACATTCTATTTGATCGCATCAATAGAATAGATTCGGGTTGATTTAAAAAACTCCCATGGTAAAAATACCATTTCTGACCAATTGGAAGCTCTAACACGTTTTGACAAACATTAAGAATTCAATACAGTTTTATAAGTTAAAATTTAAAATTAAATGTTCAATCGTTTATATATTTACTCTAGTTTACTTAATTATACTTTTTGTAATTATTATTTGTAAGTATGTTGAATTCATTGTTAAATAATCAAAAATAATCATTGTTAAATATTATGAATATTTATAAAAGCCATTTTTCCTAGGCAACATTTAATATCGAAGGCTCAAAGGAATATACAAAGTCTGTAAACGTTTGAGCAAATTCTGGAAATTTATTATATGAGATATTGGTTTAGAGATAGAACTAGTAATCCTCATTTTTGTCAATAATATTTATAACTTTGACTTGAATTTGAAGAAAAATATGATTTCTTCTTATTAAATTTAAGAATAGATAAGAAAATAGATGAAATATTTGTTCGTAATATTCCAATGTAGACAAATTACCAGCATTGCGAATTAAATGGATAAACATTGGGGCTCATGGCATTGTGCCTTAAGGCAAATTGCTGAAACTTCCCGTACCTAAAACTTGTGAAAACTGAAACTATAAATTTTTGACAAAAATTTACTTTTTTTTGAAAAAAAAAGACTTTTTGAAGAGAAATTTATTTTGAAATATTTTGGAAATTCTGAACTCTTTTTCAAAGCAATCGCACAGCTTTAACTGCATAGAGACGAAATAACGAAACGCTTAAGCGCCGCGTCGCCGTGTAACCGATAAACATTGATACGGAACCCATAGGAATGTAAACAAAATTTATACTTATTGTTGAAATCTCTATAAAATATCTGATAATTTGATGTGCATATGTCTAATTTTCTAAGGTATACCAAAATGTTCAGAAGTTTTTGAAACGTAAAGATATAAAAAAAATTTCATTTTAGATTTTTTTCGATTACTATAACTTGCCCTACGCGAAGTCAATAATAATATGCGAATCCGTATATATATAAAGATAACATAGTCAAAAAATATAGACCTCCACAAATTATGCATATATAAATAAAATTTAATAAACTATAATAAGTATTAAATCTAAATTTCAAATAGTATTAAACCTTTTTGCAAGCAACTCCCGAGTAGCGATTAGTAGAGGTTCCAAATACCAGATCATTTAGAATGGAAGCATATGGAGTAACTCCAATACCTCCTCCAACCATTACTGCGACTTCAAATTTGTACCAATCCTGATTACCACCTCCGAATGGACCTTCTATTCTTAATTTAGGCTGATCTTCAGGGTTGAAGTTGCACGGATCGAAGTAATTTCTTAGCTTCCAAGTCCAAGGACCTAAAAGATAATAATACTTATAAGAATTATATTCTTTCTTGGCTCCAGTTTTCATTCTGCAATTGAGCTTTTTTCATTTATTTCAAAGATCAATTATATTCATAACTATATGGTTACATGATTTTAAAATTTACAAAAAATAATAATAATGATGATTAAATCAACTGCATAAAATGATATAACGATAATATGAATAGAGAAAAGAAAATGTCTGGAACTGAAAGTCGAAGCTCAGAACCAGGAAGCATGGAAGCATAAATTTGGAAAGTATAATGATTAAATGGTAATGGAATGAATAAACAAACGGAAAGGAAATAATTTTGTGATGCTCTCACACCATAGACCTGCCTTCGGGCAGACTACTATTTATTGTTATTAATATGAATAACAACGAAATGTAGAAAGAAGTATAAATTCAGATTATCGATATGACCTAGATCTTCTATCTTACCTTGAGCTTTTATATGACAAGACAGGAAATTTTCATGTGGAGCACTCGTCAAAGTAAACGAATGGAATTCGTTACTTCGAAAAGCGGTGCAGGCAACGCGAACCCATTGACCGGAAAGATATTTCAAATTTGGCGGACGATAGAATTTTATCCTGATCACGTCCGATGGCAACAGCTCAGTTTCAATCACATCCAGAGCCATATATTTGGTACGAAGCGTTACTATCTATTTGGGAAGAGAAATAAATAAAACATGAGCATGTAATATATAATATAATCTTTGCAATTAAATATTGGAAAATTATAAGAATATAAAGATATTTGTACATTGTTGCAATTAGGCTTTTGATACCGCAGTGGCCATTGAGATCAGAAGTCTTTGGATTAAAATTCCACTAACAATACAAAATAATGCACTGGTGCAACAATATTTTTTGAACCGTTCAAACCGGTTGATCGTGGCCGAAATTGTGGACAAAAAATTATATCCAAAAATACAAACATATATACTTTATACACATACATGTACATCCAGCTTTTCTACGGTATGCCAAAATGTTCAGAAACGATATTTTCGATTATTTTTGCGATGATTATAACTTAATCTACAAAAAGATAATAATGTGCTATACCAACTTTTGTCCAATAATTTTTATCAATTATTATTATAGGTGCATACATTATGTAGTCAATAACAACTTAACATCTTTCGACAAATACGCAGACTTTGCTCTGAAGATGGATATTTTATCGACTCTTTAGTTTCATAAATTTATTTACAAAATTGTTTTATCATCTATATGACTGTACAATGAATCTAAAAAAAAAATCATATTTCTGTTTGGCCTTATCAAAATCTATCAAATCGGAACCTTATAGTTTTTATATTATGTTAATTAAAATTCTTAAAAGAAGTAATTGTGAGATATCATCCATAATATGCACTCATCAATAAGGAACAGATAATATAAAGTTTGGTTTAATGCAATTTGTAATAATATGTATACTTAAGCTGACTATGATACTAATAAAATTTACTAATTATGAAGGTACTAATAGAAATGATTAAATTATTTTTTCGATAGAACACAGTTTTTATAAACTATTTTATAATGATCGCTCAAATGAGTTTAAAATATACCAAATTAATCTTGTCATCAGAAAACAACATAACATTAATTACAAAATTAATTCTCGATTCATATTGATAATATCAAGATCTTCTATAAAATCGCAGGTATGCATTTAGATCGCATGCTGACGTGGAAGGACCAATTCGGGCAAAATTAAATACTATAAATACTATATCGTACCGCTGAACTATACTGGCTACTGGGGCGCAAGTCAATTCTATCATTTGTCAATAAACTTCTAATTTACAAGGTTGTAATAAAACCAATATGGACTTACGGCATAGAATTGTGGGGCTGTGCGATCAAATCCAACATAGTGTTAATGCAACGTGCCCAATCGAAAATAATAAGACAGATTACTGATGCTCCGTGGTTTGTTAGCAATAAAATCTTACACGACGATCTTCATATTGAATTTATAACCAGAAATATACAAATCAACAGTGTCAAACATTTTCATAAACTAGATCATCATACAAACTCTATAGTCACTCAGCTTTTTGAGACACCAACTTCAAGAAGACTGAAGAAGAAGCTGCCCAAAGTTAATATGGAGAACCCTTAGAACTACCACAACTTTATATGAACAGAATAGTAGAATCACTTTTTGAGGTGATTCTCTAACTAACAATGTGTGTAATCAGATTAATTTATATGTGTGTTTGAAAGTGTGTGTGTATGTGTGCGAGTGAATGACATAAGCCAAATAGCTTAAAGAATTGTCATGTATTCTGATTGATATTGAAAATAAAATTAAAAATTAAATAAAAAACAAACACTGAATTAAACATCATATTATTACCATTGTTATAAAAAATTCAAAAATAATATTACACACTATTAATACCTAAAATGAAAACAACTATCTCTGGTCTCGATTAAGGAACGATTAAGATAGAGAAACATGTAGTATTCATAATATAACTCATATATATATATTGCACTTTTAAAAAAGAAAGAGGTGTGTAAATCATATTGATCATTATATTGATTGATGCAGAAAATTTAATACTAATGTTAAGACGTAACGTTAACATATCTAAATGTTGAAAGGTAATAACCTAGAAAGCTATGAAAGCTGCAGTGATCTCAGGTCTTTCAAACGATCGAGTAAGACAAAAAAGCACGTAAGATTTATTAGGTTATTACCGCTTTTAAGTAAAGGCTAGTAACTCACTTTATCCAGGGCATAAATAATTCCTGGACCGATGAAGAATAACCAGAACCTCGGCGCGCCGGTCAGTCTAGCTAAACCGTGGACTAAGCAGAGAGCGTAGAGCAACACGTAGAGGCTGTGAGCTCTCCAGAAGTAACTGTAAGCCTTCTTCCTGATTGTTGGATGAGCAAACACGAATATTATGCACATTGTTATGAAGAGCATAACACCGGTTACACCTGGAAACAAATATTTTTATTTATAATAACTTATAAAAGTTTGTTCATATTTTATTTTCAATAGCTATTTGGCTTATAACATTCACTCACACACATACACACACTTTGAAATACACATATAAATCATTATGATAAATATCATATCCATAGTTGGAGAATCATTCCAATAAGTGAATTCTCCAATACTGTTCATATATGCAAATATATGGTAGAGTTAAAGGTCTTCTATATTATCATTGGGCAGCTTCTTCTTCAGTATTCTTGAAATTGGTGTCTCAAGAAGCTGGGTGATTATCGAATTTAAATTTTGTTTCAGTCTTTGAACATGTTTGACACTTTTATATAAAACATATTTAATAATCTTTTTTCTTGGAACATCAATCAGAACTTAAAGAATACTACGTCGGTTTTACATGTGGCAACCCAAACGCTTGCTTCATGTTAGTATGATAAAATATATTATCACAACTTCTGTAAAAAGGCGACTATTTTATTTATGCAACAATGCCAGATGAGGGCTATTTTTACTTGGAAACATAGTGTTTTCTATATTTCCAATTGAAAACAAGTATCACTACTGCTTGACATCAGGTTTCTCTAAGCGGTATCGAACCCAGATTCTTTGATTCATGTCAAGTCGTTCTAACTACTTACCCACGAGTGAGCCCATTAAACTTATTATTAATAAATTTTAGGGTCTTCCTTAATTATGTAAATAGCTAATTTAATATAAAAAAATTATTATATGTACTATAATTTACTATAATTTTTATTACTTTTACACCTATCCAAAAAAACGGGTAAAAAATTTAGAATAACAATAGGTATTGACAGTGATTTTAAGATTGACAAGTTTTAATGTAGACTGAACTTCCTTTTTAACCTAAAAAATTAACGACAAGAAAATTGCTTGAAAACTTATTGTTTAATCTTTTCAAATACTCCTACTCATATGGTATTAATTTTATTGACATTTTGATGTTAGAATTCCATTAGCACTCAAAATATAAAATATATTGCCATTTCTAATTTTCTACGTAACAACGACAATCAAAGTGATTATTGCAGAATATTCAACAGTACTATACAGATCCAAACTTTTATTTTGTTCTTTTCATGGGCATATTTTTTACAAAGATAACTGTGTATATAACCTTGATCTGGTATTACGGCACAAATACTCTCATCAGTAGAATTGGAATAACGATTGATTTAATTTATCTCTTTTAAAATTGCTTTTTAAACTTAATTTATTTTCTTATTTACTATTTTAGGTACAGTTGTCCCCTTTTGCTCCAATCACATGTAAGCTTTTATTGAGATTATATAAATAAACCTGTTAAATCTAACTTAAAAAAAAAAACAATACATCTTACAAAGCATTGAAATAACGTAAATTTAAATAGTATATTATATTAAGGTATCGTAAACTAAACAACAGTGCTCACAACCAACTGCGGTCGTTTATGTATTGATTGCGACGTTGCTCGATTTAAGGCGACTACTTGATACACTTTTTATTCTTTACTTGCAAATATTGCTATTAAAAAATTCCTAACTCTATTTGTTTGAGATATTGGTAGTAGAGCTTTTTACCGGTGGACTTTCGAACCCCGCCTTACTCTAGTACAATTTTGATTTGATTTTAGAGAATAGAAGAAAAACTTTTGATAAAATCACATAAATTTTACGACTACAATCAAAATATTACGTTTTTATAAAAATATATAAATTTAACAAACGTTAGCTATGAAACCATTTTATTACCACATTGTAACAAAAGCAACACAGTTTTCATTTTAGTGTTAGTCATTAAATTTTATGTTTTCGCACAGCGTGCAATTTGTAATGTGAACGTGATGGTGCTCAAGCGAGTGTCTATAGATCTGCAGAGGAGTTTTGAAGTGCACGTTAAAATACAATATATTTTAACTGGATCTTTTGAGATGTTTACACTTTCACAAAATTACAGTAATGTAATAACTTATATAAATGTAACCAGAAATAACCAAAGTAATTGGGTGAAAATTTCATCCCGACCCGACATTGTGTATCTATCAACTAAAAAGGTGCAAATTCTCTGGATAAAATAGTTATGTTTTGTAACTGATCTTTTTTGTTTAATAATTTTAGGTAAGAGTTCGTGACAACTGGTAAAAAGCTATGTCTTTGATAGTCGATCGAGTATTTTACATAATAATAACTTCTAAAATCTAACCTCTAAATGGCACAAAAGTCAATTATAACATTAGTTCAACTTCACATGTGTTATCATAAATGCAACAATTTAATTGCACTTAATATGATATAATTATATAAGGTGGCAATATGATTCAGATCAGATGCCATTATAATAAATAAATAAAAATATATATATATATATATATATATATATATATATAAGTTGATATGATTATGATTATTCAACACAGCATAAATATTTCATCGAGAATTGGCGTTTTGAAGTGGGGCTTAAAGGTCCACGGGTAAAAAGGCCAATCAACGATATCTCCAAAGAGTAAAGTTAAGAGATTTATAACGACAATATTTGAAAGTAGAGGGCAAAAAATGTATAACAAACCATGACCTTGATTCTTACGATATCGCAATCAGGGGATAAACGGCAATGTTTGAAACTCCATAACAAAAGTATTTTTTTTGTCGTTATTTTTTTGGTTGTGAGCACTGTTGTTGATTTTACGTGAGCTTAATATAGTTTTAGGTATACGTTATTTAATTGTTTTATAAGATGTGTTGTTGATTTTGAGTTATAGTTTTTTATATAACCTCTATAAAAGGTTATATGTAGGCGGGTTAAAAAGAACAAACCAAACCTTTACCCTGGAAAAGATGTAAACAATAAAAATCTTGAGTAAAAAAGTAAATCAAATTAATAAAAGCAGTTTTACAAGAAATAAGTTAATTTAAATAGTTATTCCAACTATGCTAATGATTCTTTCTGGCAAAATACCAGATCAAGGTTATATACAGTGCAAAGAATAACCTATGAAATTTATATTTTGCATTGTTTGAATGATGTAGGTATACTATTTCCTCAAATTCTTCTAAAATTAAAAAAGACATTGAATCTGTTTGCCTTATTTTACCCCGCCTATGGGTTGAAACAGACCAGGTGAATTTTTTTTGAAAAATCGCAAAAAATACATTAATACAATGATGACTTAGCTTGGAGTTTTACTGCAACATAGTCGTTGTTTGTTCGATGTGTTATTTGTTGTGATATAATTGGTTTGATTTTTACAATATGATTGCTCAAAGCTAATTTGGACCTTTGTGCCCCGCCCTATTTTTTATAACTTACATTATAGAAAACAAATTTAGAATTTATAAAATTTAGTTTATGTCAAATATTTTTTAATAATATATATCTGCATAAAATAGTAACACGCATGCTCGATATTTTTCAGCATTTTCAGGTTTCAAATTCTGAATACAGATACTACATTTGAGAAAAAAATTCAGTACAAAACTTCATGCAAAAATGCTAAATACAGATGTCAAATTGAGAATAATGATCTAACAGTAAACAATGCAGAACAATAAACTACTTACAACACTTCATGCAAATGCTTCAGGATTAAAATCAAAACACAATGTCAAGCAATACATATAATGTATTATCATTTATCCCACTTACCGGTGATTGTTTGAAACATCCAAAACGAAATGTCTGGCTTATAATCCGACGTGAAGTGCACTTCTCTGGTCATACATTTTAAATGTTCGACGGGTTGAGTGGACACGTGGTAGAAATTAACAATATGCCCAACGGTGTGCAAAAGCGAGAAGAACAGAGCTGTGCAGGCAGCTATTTTATGGAATTGCACGTGTGAATCCAATGGAATGTACTGCTGAACCGCGAATTGTTTCAGTTTCGTTATCAGATTCCTGGACATCGTGAGAAGTAGCAGAGAGTAGCAAAATGATAGAGACGCCGCGGAGCCTCGGGTTATGGCGATACCGACGCCCATTATGTGCCGTAAATCGGTGTGCTCGGCCATAAAGGAGTAGTCTGGAATAATAAATTTTATTATATTAAATCGTAAATAATGTACACTTTGTTCTATGTATTAAATGATTTGTATCTCAAGTCGCCAAAAATATAATAATGTTAAAAGTAAAATCTTTGTCTCATGGCCAATATCTATTTTAGTATATATCATTTGAACAGCTGTAGAATTGCTATATTTGATTTACTAGCCGCACCTCATAGTTGTAGACCGTAGGACCATATTAGTTTAATAATTGTCTTGTATATTAGGAGTTTATTTTCTAATGAAACTTGTTATTCCAGGCCTTTAACCAATTAAGTTGCCTACGTGCCAGTTTGAGCTGCCGGCGCTTCTTAATTTTATGTTTATGTTAGTCTCCTTCCTATCCAATTGTTTCCAGATATTTAATTACATTGGGTACAGAAACATATGTTTTCCAATATACGATTCAACGCAAAACACAAAACTAAAGTCATAATTAGGCGTTAAACTGCAAAAACGGAGCAAAATAAAAAATCAGTGACAAAATCTCCGATCTAGTAACTTTTGTGCATGATGATTTAAATTTTAAAATTTCTGTCGTTTCTTGGCCCTTTTCATATTAAATAACCTGGAAAATATATCTGCAATGTTTCCTTTTATCTTTATTGGGTCTCTTTTTGTAAAATCCAACAATAATCTTCAAATATATTTTCATAAACTGTAAATATGTTTGCCGATTATCCAGAGGTAATAGAGAATGAATTTGTTTGCAGATTACTGTTGCATTCTACAAAAAGAAACTCAATAAAGATGAAAAATGCGTTGCAGAAATCCGTTTCACAGGTCATTTGAGGAATTATATATGCAATAAAATTACCAGATTGGAAAGTTTATGTCTATTTCTTATTTTTATTCGTTTTTTGCATTTTTACCCCCAATTTTGGCATTAAATACGTATTCAGCATTAAAAAGTTCATTGGAAAATATATATTGCACATCCAATACAAACAACTTTATCATTTTGTAGATCTGTGTTTACCATGGAAGGACAAAATCATGTTATATATAATCCAGCCATAAATATAAACAAGCAATTAATCAAATAACTATTTCATGAAATAAATTCATAAGCGCGAGTGATAAATTAAATTCGATTAAAAAGTGAAAAATAATTGATGCGTTCTCTTCATTCCGTGGTTATAATATAAAATATGAATTGCGTAGTTCAAAAGTATCTGTACAAATAATATTATATTAGTACAATTTAATAAAAACAAGTGGATAAATTTAATTATCAGCAAAATGCAAAATATTACAGTTTTGTAGATATTCCCAATAAATCGCATTATATTGATTACACATTTTATAATATGGTTGAGCAATAAATTCGAAAGCTTCGAATTGTTTTATTTAAATATCATATTTAAAATCATCAAAATAAGTGTTCAATAGCATTACTAGTAAAAATGAAAGTATTTTGTACTGTACTTATATTTAACTTTAATATTTTGATTTCTAGTTTGTTGCTTTTCCATTCACCAAAAGAATTCTGAGGATTTGAATCAGGAATTTGAGAGACTTTTTTATGAATAAACAATATATCGTGCGCAATAGAAGAAAAAAAAAACTCACAGAAAAAAGTACCGAGTTCAAATCATGGCACTATATGTATAAAAAATCGATAAAGTAAACTAGCATACTTGTTTGAATATTGAATTGGATAGAATATTAATTATTATTCATGAATAAAATTGAAAAAAGTATGTGAAAATCAATATGCAGAAAATTGAATAAAATAGGCTCTAGGTATGTTAAAATAGATATATAAAAAGTATATAAACATACGATGAATAGAAACTTGAATTGAAATGTTATAGAATATAATAAGTGGCTAAATTCCTACTAAAATTTACAAAGAGCTCATGCAGGAACTTTGATTACTGAACAGAATATTCAGTATGTAATTGAAATCATGACCAAGGTTACGTCGACACATTTCATTTACTTTTAATATCGTCTGTCAATAAAATGGAAAGATCAATAATAAATAATATGATAGCGTGACAATTTCCTACTCACGAATAAAACGTTCGACAAATAGAGCTATCGTTATCACGTAGAATATGAACAAATAGAAAATATTCTGTCTGTTCTCCTCCAACAAAGTGGTAAGGCAATCCCACTGTCGTAGAAGATAAGGCCTCCTCTTTTCCATGGCTGGCTCAATATGGAAACTGGTCATACGAGCAACATTCGTGGAAGTGTCCAGGAAATTCTGTTTGGCACCTTTGCAATCTAATCCAATTGCAACGAAATCACCTTTATATTCTTTCATCATTTGCTTGAAGTCGACGTATGTTAGGGAATCTTTGTGCTCTAAGCCAGCATCCTGAAAATATAATGCATTAGTATCAGATTATTAATGACAAAGGAATAATGTTGTTTGAACCATAAAGCTTTCTGGAATTTTTAGTTTTACAAACAAATGCAAGATATATATTTGATTTGTTTGAAGCATAGAGTTTACTGTGAAACTTGTTTTTCTTTCGATATTTGAATTTAAAACATTGAATAATGATATTATTGGATTTTTTCTTTAAAATTCAATTATTTTACAAAATTTAAAACTTCTTGAAATATGTACAAATTATGTAAATTATAAAAAATACAAATGATTTTTATACATAACTGTCGTTGTTCACATTGACCTTTAATGTTTCCTGTATAAATTTTTTTTTGTTACAATTTATTTTTGTTACTTCTGTATATAAAATTCTTATTGTTAATGATTACTTTTTTGAAATGCTGATGATTAAATATTATAGTAATTAGATAATAATTATATAATAGTCTCTTTGAAGTTATGCTTGAAGTTTAACACCTACTGTAATAAGAATAACACGTCTGAATAAGATGATCTTCTGATTGAACTGAACGTAAAATATATACGATCTATGAACTTCAAAACAAGTTTATGAATTGAACTACCTTCAGATAGATTTAACAAACTTGATGATTTAAAAAAATACTGAATGAGTAAAAGGAGACATTCAAATTACTTATTATTTTAGAATTAATATTGTATAGAGTTCGACATATTGATGCAATTTTACAAAAAATTGTAATAACTTCATAAACGCGAGTGATAAATTAAATTCGATTAAAAAGTGAAAAATAATTGATGCGCTCTAGTGTTAACATCTTCTAAATCTATTAAATTTTATGATGTTATTAAATAACGCCACTAAGAACGACAAAAACTAAAAAGCAATATTAACAGATAAGAAAGTGCTTCTAAAAATGGTGATAGTAAATAACTATACTGATAATTTTTTCGTTATAATAACAAGATATTCTTTTTTGATTTTTGCTGCATTAAATTCTAAAATATAAATAAATTTCATAATAATTACTATAATAAGTTTGAAACTGGCTCACATGGTATAGCATATAATATATGCTTATAAAGAACTTTTGAACTTTTCTTATATAAAATATAATATATAATATATAAACTCTATAATCTGTTATTAAAAAATAAACTTAGTAAACTTTAATATCTTTAGTTATATCAGTTGCATTTTGAACGTCATACTAAAATAATACTATTATAAAACAAACAGTGTTACTTTAAGATGCTTTACTCAATTTATTCACGAAAAATTTAATAAAATGTAATTAATTTATATAAAATTATTAGAGATAATCACAAACGGAGCAAAACTTTGTCGGCTCTGAAATTTGTTTTCATATAATCAAGCGTATAAAATACTTTCTAAACCCAAACTCAATATATTTCAATTTTGATTGTACAAGGATCATAAAAAGCTCAAAAAGAGAATGTAGGTTTATCTAACAAATAATAGATAATGTATGTAAAAAATAATTTAGGGCATACTTTGAAATGCTTTACTAAATTTATTCTCGAAATATAGAATAAAATCTGACCGATTTATGAAAAAATATTTGGGATAATCACAAACAAAGCAAAAACTTTTGGTAATTTTGTAATATGTTTTCATAAAATCAAGAGTTAAAATACATTCTAAACATAAATTTAATATATTTCAAAAAATTATTTTACAATGTTGATTGTAAAATCATCACATAGAAAGCTTCAACAAATAATGTAAACAACTACAACGTATATCTAACAAATAATAGATAATGTCTTTCGAAAAATCTTTATAATTTTGGGCCAACTTTATAAAAAAAATATTATTTTTAAAATTTTAAATTGTTTATTTATTAACTTTCCGTAGGGTAAGTTATAGTAATCGCAAAAAATCGAAAATTAAAATTTTGGAAGCTTGAACAAATAATGTAAGTTTATATAAACAACTATAACGTATATCTAACAAATAATAATGTCTTTTGAAAAATCTTTATAAATTTGGGCCAATTTTATAAAAAAATATTTTTCTAAAATTTTAAATTGTTTATTTATTAACTTTCCGTAATTTTCATATATTTTTACATTTCAAAGGTTTCTGAACAATTTGGCATATCTTAGAAAAAATTGATGTATGTGTGCGTGTGTGCATTTTTTGTGTTTGTATATGCGGATATAATTTTTTGTTGATTTTGAAAACACGGATCAACCAATTTGGATGATTCAAAAAACATTTGATCCTTATTGATGAGGGATCGTGCTGATTAGTTTAAAAAATATCTAAAAGATCAATTTTTTTAAAAAAAAATTAAATTTCTCAAATATCTATTTTTTTCAAAGTTCTAAAAAATAAATCATTTTTAAAAATTTTAATTTTTGGTACGGGAAGTTCCAGTAATTTGCCTTAAGGCACAATGCCATGCATCACTGGTTTACCATTTAATTATAAAAGAATATGCGTGACCATTGCCAGAATTTTATTCGCTTCCGACGTTCTATAAAACTGGCAAATAATGCAAATATAAAAATGTATAAAAAGCTTTATCTCACTCCTAAATCTGTCTAAAATGTCTGCTCCTTTCATTTCAAACGAACATATATAATATCGAATAAAGCTTTTTATAGATCATTTCGCCCTTTCATAGCAAACTCGTTTTATGGTTATAACAGGATCCATGTAACGTGAACTGTGCTCTTAAAAGCGTTTTAAATAAAATAAAATAAAATGATAAAGTACCTGGAACATTCCATCTATGAGCTCAGTAACTTGATCATCTGATAGACTGGTCGTCCGAGCAATTTCCACCAGAGATCGCAGCATCTCGGAAAGTTCTCCTTTGTCGATAACTCCGTTGCGGTCATTATCGCACATGTCGAATATTATTCGGAGTTTATCCTCGGTTTTGCCGCGTGAGAACAGAACAACTGTGTCTAAGAACTCCTGCAAACAAAGTTAAGAATAGCATTAGTATGTACATAAATAAACCGTTCGGATCTAAAATGATCACAGATTAATTTAACCCAGTTTTTTTTTTCTGATGATAACTAAGAATTTTGAGTAAAGAACTTATCTTTTTTGATTATATGAAATTTTTTTTATACCTGTCCTCAAAGGGACAACAAGTAAATCTGCAGAATTAAGAAAATTACTTCAAAAATATAAAATCACCTGACCAATGACAGAGATTTTAAAAATTGACTCATTTTAGTGAAACATCAATTTTTAAACTTTTCTAATTTTGCCATGGGCAAAAAACTCTTCTTATATTAATTATCATTTCACATTAATTTAAAAGTACTAATACATTCTACTTGCACAGATCGACTGTAATTAAGTGATGAAGAAGATAATTCTGATGTGTTATTTTGAGCACTACCAGGTAATCAACAAGTTTCAGAAAAAAATGAAAGTTCAACCTAATTTTTATATTAAATTTTAAAAACAAGATATTACTGCTCCTTCAAAAACAAGAAGATAATTCTGATATGTCACTTCCAACACTACCAGGTAATCAATAAGTTTCAGAAAACAAATGAAAACTAAACCTAACTTTAATGATAAAATTTAATAACAGGATATTACTGCTCCTTTAAAGACAGGAAGAAGATAATTCTGATATGTTATTTTCAACACTACCAGGTAATCAACAAGTTTCAGAAATAAATATGAATGAAAGCTAAGCCTAATTTGTATAATAAAATTTAAAACCAGGATATTACTGCTCCTTTAAAAACATGAAAAAGATAATTTTGATATGTTACTTCTAACACTACCAGGTAATCAATAAGTCTCAAAAATAAAAATAAACCTAATTTGTATAATAAAAATTTAAATACAGGATATTATAATTAAAAGATAATACTAAAACACTATCGATAAACGTTGAATTTATGTATAATTCTACATAAAAATTAATGGATCAAATATTTGCAAACTAGATAATTGAGTATTCTTACCATAGGCGATATAATTTATTTGTTAACTCTACTTTAATTATATTATATATAATAGCATATTAGCAAAAATTGTATTTTAAATCAATAATTTATTAATATGTAGAAATATATGTAAATTTAAATATATGTAAATTTCCTCTTGAAGTCTATTGAAATCGTTTTATAACGAAACTATTTTGTATCGAAAATCTGCAAAGATAGAATTAATTTTAGTTAGTACCGAAAAAAACTTATTTGGTGAACCCTGGCATAATGCAATTTCTCATTCACATAAAGATTGATTTGCTAGGTGTGGATTTTCTGTAAAAGCTCTAAGTACTTATTCTAATAGAGCAAAATATATTTCGAAAAAAAACTTATTTCTTGAAAACAGAAGACATACGGTTTTTGAAATGAGCAGCAGGTACTTTTCCTAACAAAGTAACAATTATTTTAAAAAAAAAGTTATTAAGTGAAAAATTTTATATAGTCAGAAGGAATGCAGTTTTTGGAATGAGATAATATTCGTATTATTTTATTCAATGTAGATTAGTAAGTAATTAAAAGGAAAAAATAAATTGTGTTAATTTTTATTAATTTTCAATATATTTCATCTAAGCATAGTAGTTATATAATAGGTATATTTTGCGGAAGTGTTGAGTAATTTAGTATGAATATCTTACCTATATTTTCTGAATAATTGTATTTAAGTTTATTATGGACATAATAAGTTAACGCTATAAAACAAATATTGGATGTCAAAAAGATCATAAGTAATTTGTGGCTTAAATTGAACATTTAAAACTCGAACAGTAATAAGCAAAATAATTAATATAGAATGTCTATAAAGATACTCAATTTTTATTCTTTTCCAGTTTGCAAATATTTGATTCAATAATTTTTATATAAAAGGTGAGAAATAATACAAATCGGCGAACAAAAACATGTTAATTGTTAATTTTTCTCCAATATCGTCAAAGTCTATGAATTCTTTTGCTTTTTATAATAATAAAGGATATCTTGAATCCTTATATAAATAAATCAATTACTAACCTGGAACGAAATCCTGCCATCTCCATCTTTATCAACAATATTAAACATTTTTCTAACAAAAACGGCATCCGATTTCATGCCCAAGGCGCTGGCGAATTCTCCCTTAGATAGTGAAGTCCTCATCACGGTGACGACTTCTCCATCTGCTCCGCTGCCACCAGCATCGTCCGACCTGCGTCGTCTCTCACCAGGACGAAGACCGAAGGTGAGAGCGTACGCCTCGCGGAAGAAGTGCTCGAGTTTCTTCTGACGCCTTTCTCTGGTTTCGGCTTTGGCAAGTATCATGTCGCGCATTTGCTAGAAGGAAGAAAATTAAATATTTATTTATTTATTTATTTATTTATTTAAATACATAGCCCACAGATTTCTCCAAGAGGACACAAAAATACAATTATTTTACATAATGAATAACAATTAAAATATATACAAAATTACAATATATAGTTAGTAACATAAAATTCTTAAAATAACATTACATATAATGCAGAATGTAATAATATTATTTATAAACAAAATAAGATAAAATAATGAGATATTTGAAAACAAAATATAAAGGTTAACTTGTGCAGATGGAGATTATTTGATTAGGTGAAGTGTTGTGAATATCTATTTCATTATTAATTGAGTTAAAGTTAGAGGACATAAGTAAAATTGGCGAATTTAAGAGAGAATTAGATTTAGGGAATATAAGTGGAATGCATGGTAATAAATGAACTTAAATAAAAATGAGGTTATTTATGTTATAATAGGCCAATGGATTTTATACGTTAGGGTTGAGCCCTTGAGACAAATGAACACTTTTAAGTGAAAGAGTGGTATTAAGAATGAGAATTACTGCAAATAATAATGTCGAAGTAATGGTGACATCTGAGGCAAACGTAGACAAATATGCTAGGAAAGACCTCCTAGACTTGCGTTACATAGATAGAAAAAGAACAAATGGCACTTATTAGGAAAAAGTTATAACATAGAAGAGATAATCATAGCATCCACGATGTAATGACTAATGGCAATTGGCGACAAGAGGCAAGAAAAAAGCGAGGAATTTAGTCGGTATTCAGTCGGTACGTCAGGCAGGATTGAGCTCGACATACCCGATCAAAAATCTATTCCTGAGATACGTAAACATATTTTTTTCGTAAACTTATTATATCTTATATATAAAATTCTTCTGTAACAATGTAAGTTTCATTAGTCCTCCTAAACTATAATTCGGATTTTCATGAATCTTCCTGAAGTTTGTTCGGGAAATTTTCTAGAATGTTTTGATTCATAGAAATATACTTAGATTGTAGAAATAAATGAAAAAAAATACAAAAAACCGCTTATCATTGTTTAACCTTTAAAATATAAGGCATGGTTTGACATTAAAAACAAATGACAACTGTCATTGGCCAAACATTTCTATTCACTTATAGGCTAAGGCAATATTAAAATATAATAAATTCATGATTATAAATAAGGAAAATGTAATGTCTACATTATTATTGCCGAAAAGCAGCTGAGATGTGCCAAAAATTAAATTAATATAAGATGCAAATAATATAACATGCGTTTGACAGTCTGCGCATGCGACCGACGCGCACGGCGAATCGTGTTCTCAACGTCCGCGTGGATTGCTTTTGCTTGCACTAATGTTGTCTGCGCACTTTGCGAACTGATTTGCCGTACGAATTCGTCAATGGGGGCGAGCCATAAGTGATTGCGCTCAAAAATATTCAATTTGCAGTCGTTTTGCCTCACTATACTAAGTCACAATACAAAAAAAATTACTTATTCAAAAAATTATTTAGAAGTTACATTGTGTCAAAAATTCATATGGTTGGCATTTTGAACGGAATATTTACTCAATGAAGCGCTTTGGGTCTGAACTTTTTTTTACTGTTTTCCAATTCGTTTGAAATTTTGGAATTAGGCTCATCTTACTCTCAAGTTCAATAGTGAAAACAATTTAGACTCCTTTGCACTACCCGGGCGGATGCCCTTTCTTTTCAGTGGTGTAATAACGTTGGGTGTGGATAAAAGAGCTAATTATAAGAGAAAAATGTTTAATAATGTTTTTCAAAAAAGCACATACTTTTCAAGTTGGCTACTGAAAATTTGTTTCTTTTTTGCGTTTTTTATCAATAAAAATAAAATTATATCAATAAAAATCCTAATAAATCGCTATCTTACAGTGTCCTAGGAACAATATTAAGTTAATTATGAAAATGGGTTTTTATAGTTCTCCAAATAAGCTTTAAAAGAAAGTATTTCTTTGTGTGTAAAATGAGTGAGCTATCATGCAATTAAAAGATGCATACAATGTTTTTTTTTCATTTAAATCAAATAGTTTATGAGTGCCATTTCCACCAAAATTAAAAATAATCGTTTTCCATCTAGATTTTCAAAAAACTCATGATTTCATAAAAAAATCCATTAAAAAAAAACAATTTCTCACTATAATATCTCCGAAAGAATACGTATAAAAGTATATATATGAAAATTCAAGGTATTTTTCAGACTAATTATTGCTTTTTATTATTTTTTGTTACACAAATATTGATAGAGTTCTAATTGTTTAAAGAGTGCGCGGCTATCCAACCGGAGTGTCTTTCGAGCCCTTTAACCCTTCGCCGTTTCAAAATAAGAGAAGTTACGGTAAAATTTATGATAGAGAAAGTTGTAGCTTATTTAATCACCTTTAAAATAGTATATTACAAGTTATGATAAAATCAGAATTAAAAAAATTATAATCCAATTAATGCGGGGGGTGGTGACGAAATGCAAATTGTTTTCACTTCTGAACTTTAGATTAAGATTAGCTGGGCATACGCTTTTTTCCTCTCCATTTACTGCAATAAATTTGTTGATAGTAGGTTGAATAGAGCACATGTGAACAAAATTTGACAAATTAATTTACTTCAAATATGAACTCAAGTAATAATGTATATTGAATTATTAGTGTGAAAAATGCAATTTAGATCTTAAAATACTAAAAGCCAGTTAAAATATGGTACGAAATTATAAAAATTGTAGGCAACATTATTGAAGCAATTATTTTGGGTAGAAAAATCCAAGGTGATATTGTACCTTGACCGCATGCTATATATTAATTTTTTCTGAATTTGTTATACTTTTTAAAAGATTTCAATTTTCAACACGTGTATCTATGCTATGACAATAAATACATGGTGATAAATTTAGAAAATCAATGTTTTAGCCGTGAATAAACAAAAAATCATTCATTTAAACATCCACATCTACAGGCATGTCTAAAAATATTGTATAACCTTTAAATTCAATAAAATAAATTGAGTTATTAGAAATAAATTTGTTCTATAAATCGCAGTGTATAATTTTTAATATATAATTTTATTAAACATATTTTAATATTTGTTAAAGGGATAATTAAAGTGTTAACTGTGGGAATTGAGAATAATCATTTAATTAGAAACAGTACTACATTTAACATCACTCATATATTGGTGTAAATAGTAACTCGAAAAACAATAATGATTATTTTTAACTGAACGGTATAAATATTAGTATAGGGTATTAAAAAAACGTAGAGGTGGGTACAGGACAACGTCTGTCGGGTCATCTAGTATATATATATATATATATATATATATATATATTGTATAATTCTGAATTTGATGTTGACATATGTATTAACAAAGTCTAGTAATCGGGCACAACATCAATAAAAAACATGAATTTCTTTAAAAAATTATTTCAAATCCATACGTTTCGGCTATAATCCTAGCCGAAAACTATGATATGGTCTGCTATCATAGTTTTAAATTGTCTTGAATTTTTTTGAATTGTGTTTAATTTAAAAACAATTCAAAAAATCCAAGACAATTTAAAACTATGATAGCAGAGCATATTTATACTTTAAAAAACAATATGAACTTTTATAACCCGATTGTACTGCACTTTGAACAAAATTTATTCAAACAAAGAAGGATCTCTTTTTTAACTAATTACAGCAATATAATAATAAATAAACGGAATGAACTTAACACACTGTGCGACACAAATCTCTTTTATTTAGATAGTATTTCCAAATTTATCACAAAACAATAAAAACGACGCGAAAGGATTCGCAATTCGTTCCACACATGTATAGAATCTTGGTAAAAAATATTTTTTAGAAAGTCCTTTCTCCATTACATCTTCAACCAGTCTACGAACAACACACTATCCAATTGTGATTTTTTAAATTAGTAATTTGTGAAAATATTGTGTAATTACAAGTTTAATGTTTATAATACATAGTGTAGTGCATGACCATATCCTGATATCATGGATTATTAAAATTTTCCAATTTAACACTAAGATTAACTAAGTGTAAGTACTATTTACTATTTTATTTCTTCTTTTCACTTCAATTCAATTGTTTTAGTTTCTAATTTTATTTTTAGTTTCCACTGAATGAAGTCTAGGATTATAGCCGAAACGCATAGATCTAAAATCAATTTTTGAAAGAAATTCATGTTTTTATTGATGTTATGCCCGATTACTAGACTTTGTTAATACATACATACATACATACATACATATATAAATATATATATATATATATATATATATTTATATATGACAAAATAATGAATGAAAGCAGCAAAATATATAAACATTTTTTACTTTTAATTAATGTAAAATTTAATTACAGAAAGTTTTTAATTAAGCTCAAAATATTTTGTAATTCCGCTGACACTGACAATTTTTCTAAATGGTAATTGCAATTAATTCTGGGTAAAAAGCTAAACCGACAAATCAGACATTTTCCAAGCATAATTAGTACATACTAATTATTCGCATCGCCATAGGATATGTATCCAATAATTAAATATGTTATATAAAATTATAATTATCACTAGATGCTGGAACAGCAACATGTTAATCAAAATAAATAAAACTTTTTAATGAGGATAAACAAATTAAATGTTGAGTCACTGGGAATGTTATTAATTAAAATCAAATCAATTAAAATTATTCTGATTATCAGATATAAAAGTGGTGATTCATGAAAAATCTGATTTGATATAATTTATGTTAGGCATCTAAAATATATCTGAAAAATATTTTTTATAAAACATCTACAGTTTTTACGCGTTCGCTAAATATTAGGGTAACAAAATTTTTCATTCAAATACTTGTCAAATTTATTTATACAATACACATCAAATATACTAATATATTCCTGATATATCGATAGAAATTTTTTTTCTCTTACCTGAATACATATTAAATGCTTCTTATGTGAGAGAAGAAAGCTTTCTAGTTTTGAAACAAATTTTCTCCTAGATCCTAGAGAGTCCAATTCTAATACTAAATCGTGGTCCCTTGGGATTCGCATTAGTAAAAGCGGCTTCTTGTTGTGGTAGTTATCCTAAAACAGTCATTTATTAAAAATCAAATATAAGAAAAACATCATCATTTGAAACACTTGACCAAATACCTGTGATTCTTCAATCGTGACCGAATCAACATTTTTAAAGCTGACTGTTCTTAATTTTTCTCCTTTTCGATCCACAGTGTGCAAAGCAGCTTCTGGTCCAAATCTGACTTTTACCAGTCTTTTGTGATTTGCGTGAAGCCATTCTCTGACTATCATTTTATCCACAGAACCACCTTCAAATAAAATTAATAATATTGTATTAATGCACTATTGCTAATTATTGAAAATGTTTTCAACGTGTTGTACATAATTTTCATTATGAGAACAAAGACAAATTGGATTGAAGTGATATAAGATAAATTTGCACAATAAATTGATGTAATAACATAATAAATTTTTATGCAAGTGGCATTTTACCTTATGGCAAGTTGCAAAAGAAATTATATGATAACTTTTAGAATTATGATGATATAATTTTCTAAATATGAAATATGTTTATTCGTCTAGATTTTCCTAATTAATCAACCCTTCGTAGGACTATGATATTCTAAAAAGTTTTTTGACCATTATACTAAATTTCACCATAATCATACTAAATTTCACAAAAAATGAAATAAAAGAAAGAAAAATTAATTACAAATATAATAATAATTACAGAAAAATAAATGAGAAAAAAATTACAAGAGCTAGTCAGCACGATTGTTGCCAAGTGTTGTTTTTGGAACAGGATTCTATTTCAAGTTCGATTTAGGATTTTAGGCGAAAACTTGAACAAAAAATTTTGCACTTTTCTGAAACTGTAAGTAGGAAAACGACTAGGCCAATCGTCTCTCAGAACCAAATCCTGGAATTTTTGGGTATCATCAAATATTTTTAAAATTCTTGAAATTGGTTCTGCCGTTTTTGAGAAAAGTTTCATAAAGTCAAATATTTGCACACATCAATTAATGTCAAATGCTTGCACACATATTGCACATACACTTTAAACAATTCAGGTATCAAACAATTCAGAAAGACTTGAGCGTACACAAAAGCAGCAAAGGATTTTTGAGAAAAACATAAACTACTCCTTGAAAGTTAATAATCAAGATCTTGCAATAATACAATTAAAATAGTTTATACATAGCACTTTTTATCTTTAGAAATATCTTAATTTGAAGCTAATTTCCTATATGTAAAGAAATGCATTTGCAAATTTCAGCTTTTATTTCTTTTTTCTCGATTTTTTTTTAAATTATAAAGCTATCAAGTATTTTGTCATTATACAATCCTGATTAAATGAGCACACTTTTGACGGAAGTTGCCAACACACCTTAGTACATCTTATTTTAAAGAAATGCTTTTAATATAGACCAATTTTAAATAATTAAATCCATAGTTCAACGAGTAGACTGAATTCTAGAAAACTTAGAGGAATTGTATCAATATTATTATCTGCGGTTCTAAAAACGTTACTTATAATTTTGGATCTAGAACTTAAATGAACGAAATAATAAAAATTAAGCATAATAACCAAAAATTTGCCATAGTTTCACCAAAGCTGTACGCTCATGATTCTCAGCAATATGAAAATTATTTGTTTTATAATTTTTTTATGAAAGTTACGACCAATACTATCACTAATCATAGGCAAATATAAAACCAAACAATGTCCACGGTTGTTCCAAAGCCCTAGCTGTCAAGGTCATAATTTTTAAACTATATGGAATATTTTTATCCTATTTTTTATAATAGTTACGATCAATACTGTCACTACGTTTCAGCTTATCATTGCGTTCCAAGACACCCTGTAAAATAGCCAAATGTAAAACCGAAAAAATAAATATAAAACATTTTTTATATGAAATTCTTAGATAGTTATGATCAAAACTATCACCACGTTTTGACTTCACGTTGCGTTTTAGGACATCATGTGTATTGGTCGAATGTTTATTATAATTATATTTGAACAGCGATCAGAACTTATGGGTTCTATGAGCTGTTGTGATTAATATCTTACAAACTACGTTTGTTTTATTACAGATGGCAATCCAAACAGTTGTCACATCTCTGTATGATAAATTTTTTATTACAATCTCTGTAATAGGGCAAGTATTGTGCAACAATGCCAGGTGAGGGCTATTTTCACTTGGAAACATATTGCTATTTATATTTCCAAGTGAAAATCGTTGTCACTGTTGCTTGACAACAGGCTGCTCGAAGTGGGTATTGAACCCGGGACCTCTGAAACAAGTCCCGTAGCTCTTAACCGCTTACCTACGGACGAGCCCAGGTCGAATGTTAAGCCGAAAAATTTATCAAAGCTCCAGGTTTCATTCAAAAGCTCATGATTTTCAATATATATGAAATTGACTTGTTTTTTGTTATCTAATTTTTTAATGATAGTTACAATCAATACTACAACCCCGTTTCAGTTTGACATCCTGTATATTAGCCAAATGTAAAACCGAAAAATGCTTACAGTTTTATCATAGTTCTAAGTTGCCTTTAAAAGCTCATCAGTTTCAAACTATATAAAACAATTTTTATATGAAATTCTTATGATAGTTATGATCAAAACTATCACCACGTTTTGACTTCACGTTGCGTTTTAGGACATCCTGTGTAATGGTCGAATGTTAAGCCGGAAAATTTACCAAAGCTCCAGGTTCCATTTAAAAGCTCACGATTTTCAACATATATGGAATTAATTTGTTTTCTAATTTTTTAATGATAGTTAAAATCAATACTATAACCCCGTTTCAGCTTGACGTTTCGTTTTATGACACCCTGTATAATGGGCAAATATAAAACCGAAAAGTGGCCACAGTTTTACAAAAGCTCAAGGTTGACTTTGAAAGCTTTTTTTTTTTGAAAAATTTTTCTTAATTTTTTATGATTGTTACGATCAATAATAAATTTCAGCTCAACGTTGCATTCCGGGATACCAACTATAATTAATATCAAACCATAGATATATAAGTATCAAACACAGAAACAATTTTTACCTCGAACTAAAAAACAATTCAACATAAGATAATACCTTTTCCTTCGGCTTTGGATTTCAGCGCCTCTTGTCGAATCTTGAGTCTCCTCCGTCTCCTGTTCTGTAACTTGATGACGCCGTAGCCGGCCGCGGCGCATAGGATGGGAACGAAGCCCAAGAGCACACAGACGTAGATGTAGGCCAATTCGCTTCCCTCGAAGTAATCGTATCCGCGCAGGTATTTGCAGGGCTCTAATAGACTGGCGTTCAGCTGGGCGGGCTGCAGGAGAGGGAAACAGTTTTATCATTAAATTGGCGGCTAATGCAAGATCGTGTTACGGAAAGAAAGAAGGAAACTGATATTGTAGAACGTGTAGAAAGGTTTGAGTTGTTTGAATAAGTTGAGAATGGATATCAGGTTGTAGTAAACACTCGGTTATTTTAATGGTGCACGTTCTTATCTACATAATAGAAGAGTATTTCTATATATAGTATATTGAAAAATTCGTGCTAATCAGTAGGTTGTCGAAAAGGTGAGATAATATTTCAAAATCGCGTAGAATTTTTGTAGAAGCGTAATTTAAATAAAACAATGGACGGTAGCTAATGCGTGAAATGTCAAAGGTTTTTGACAGATGATGTTCAATTACGTTTAGTAGGATGTTTTACGTGAATATTATTTAATTATGATTAAATTGTAGGAAGTAGTTTTGTTTGTAGTTTTATTTATATACAAAAACGTTAGTAAACGGGCCGTAAAAAGGTCTAAATAACAAATTTTTGAAAGACATAAAAAAAGCACATTTCTACAATGATGAAGTAGAAGGCAGCTTACTGAACGTAGTCAGATAATTGTTCGTTTGATATGTGTTATTTGTTGTGATATAATTGTTATGGTTTTCATTGTATAGTTTATATATGCTCAAAGTTAAATTGGACCTTTGAGACTCGCCCTGCTCTACATATATACTTTTCATTAAATTTACTTTAATTCATCGAATGTTACTTGAAACTTTTCAAAAAGCAGCTCAAAGAAGAAATACTTAATTCATTTTATATCTCTCCTCGCAGAAACTTGAAAATGTTGTATAATAGTCTAAGAGCCAGTGAACTATTTGATTAACCTGTTTTCTCAAAGCTAGAATTTTTTTTAATGATATTTTATTATCGGTACATTAAGAAAGTGCCGGTCTGGCAAGCATTTAACGATTGCGTCATCATCCCTCGAGTTTTTGAAAATGTAAAAAAACTCATTTTTTTAACTTGCTTTCACAAGGCTCAAATTTTGAGGAAGTATTCTTGTAACTGTTCAGAAAGCATATGTAGAAAGCCAGACCATTCTGACGATTGCAAGGGTCTGCCAGACGAGTACATAATAGTCACGACGCGCAAGGGTGTGGGCGCATTGCCATACATGATCGACTAATACCCTTGTATTTGAATAATTTATACGCCATTTTGAAGGTCATTTTGAAAACATCCGATATACCAAACTTTAACTTTGTATCTCACCTTATGGCCGAGATATCATTGAAAATATGCCAAAGTGGCCCCTTTTTCAAACTCAATTTTTGGCGTAACCATAAAAGATATCGAAAAAAAATTACGTGATTCTACTCATATTGGCTTGGGCCGCTTAATGTATAGTAATATATGCTAAATAATCCTTTATTATAAGCTAAAAAGAATAAAATAATTTTTCAATTAATGTTTTCGGATAGTGCGTTTTGTTCAATTACTTTCTTATTAGCGTTATTCGGAAGCCTATTGTTTTTTTCTTTTAGTACTGCAAAAATTGTTCAAATCGTGGAACACATTGAAAAATTGAAGAAACCAGAGTTTGTATACCCGCGCGTAACACATTGCGCACTGCTATCCGAAAGAACGAATTCTATGCGGGCTACTATTAGCGTTACGCGAGGTGTACTGTGCATAGAACTCGTTCGATCGGATAGCAGTGCGCGATGCGTTACGCGCGGGTATACAAACTCTGGTTTCTTCAATTTTTCAATGTGTTCCACAAATTTGATTTGAACAATTTTTGCAGTACTAAAAGAAAAAACAATAGGCTTTCGAATAACGCTAATAAGAAAGTAATTGAACAAAACGCATTATCCGAAAACATTAATTGAAAAATTATTTTATCCTTTTTAGCTAATAATAAAGGATTATTTAGCATATATTACTATACATTAAGCGGCCTAAGCCAATATGAGTAGAATCACGTAATTTTTTTTTTGATATCTTTTATGGTTACGCCAAAAATTGAGTTTGAAAAAGGGGCCACTTTGGCATATTTTCAATGATATCTCGGCCATAAGGTGAGATACAAAGTTAAAGTTTGGTATATCGGATGTTTTCAAAATGACCTTCAAAATGGCGTATAAATTATTCAAATACAAGGGTATTAGTCGATCATGTATGGCAATGCGCCCACACCCTTGCGCGTCGTGACTATTATGTACTCGTCTGGCAGACCCTTGCAATCGTCAGAATGGTCTGGCTTTCTACATATGCTTTCTGAACAGTTACAAGAATACTTCCTCAAAATTTGAGCCTTGTGAAAGCAAGTTAAAAAAATGAGTTTTTTTACATTTTCAAAAACTCGAGGGATGATGACGCAATCGCTAAATGCTTGCCAGACCGGCACTTTCTTAATGTACCGATAATAAAATATCATTAAAAAAATTTCTAGCTTTGAGAAAACAGGTTAGTCAAATAGTTCACTGGCTCTTAGACTATAAGTTCAGTAGTATTATTTACAATTATACACAAAATCCAAAATCCAAAAAGAATCTGAAAAACTTGAAACATAATCAATAAGTCGAAAGACCAAAAAAGACTTAGATTGAATTATACCATGTTTTCTATAGAAAGTTTATAAAACTTTCAGTTAGATTGTACTGACTAAATATAGACAAACTAATTTGGTTTATTATTTTTATAATACCTCATTGTATATAGCATTCAAACAACACATCCTTATACACTAAATGTATTAATATTTTGACTCTCGAAAAATTGTTTAGAATATACCTTACTTAGCAAAACAACGTTTGCCGGGTTAGCTAGTATATATATATATATATATATATATATTTCAACTGTTTATTGGGGAATTTACAATTGTCAGCCCTAAAGGGACATTCTATACTATATTGACATGTTGGAAAAACAACTCAATAGTTGTTTTCCCATTTGTTATAATATTAACAATATTTTAATTATGATGATATAATCGTAACTATTTACTTAAAAATATTTTTTTATAAATAATAACTAAGTTATTTCATTCTTTATTAGAGAAATTAATGACTTAGATCAAGCGGCGCTTTTTTCTTCAATCTACGTCGGTAGTTCGCTGTTATTTAGGATTTTGCTAGTGAATTTGGGTGACTGATGAGCTTGTTTTTATATTTATGTTCTGTTTTCGTTAGTACATCTTTTACTGCTATGATTTAATAGACAATTTAATAAAACGTTCGACTTAAATACAGTTTTAATAATTTCTGTCGTCAGAAAGATTACACGTGATGAAAAATAGATCAAGTTTAGTTTTCTGCCCGTTGCCAAATTTAATCACACTTGCATATTTTGTTAATCAGCAATTTTATACTTGAACCAATTTACTGTAAGGATTTTCTCATTACGCTTAACTAGGCACTTTTAGCTAGATTAAATTCAATAATAAAACAGGACAGTCTGCTGTGGGCTATGGAGCTATGTAATAACGTGACATTTTTTTATCAACACCGAGACGCCAATTTTTTGTCATGATTACCCGGGATGGGTTGAAGGGTATGCTAAAAATTGTAAATGTGACTTAAAATAACAAATACTAATTGAAGATACAATAGAAATCAGTTCTTTTAATTGAATCGATGGTTTTTTATTTAAATAACTGACTTTTAGTTCAACTATATTATTCAATTACCTATATTCTATATCATACCTTTTTTTTTGCTTCTAAGCCTTGCAAAAAATTAATTAGGTTAGTAAAAATTAGCACTTGCTCTAGGCGGTCAAAAAGTTTCCTTTCATAATTTTTGGTAATTTTCGTAAAATTGAAAATAAAAGTTTGAAATTATTAATATCTGATGTGATGTTTGAAATTAATTATATTGTAATTTATAACGTATTGTTTCATATAAGTATACTTGTGGTTTATACCTATCTTTTTTAAATATGTGATTAGTAGTTGTAATTTTATTATCAAGTGATTGCGAAGATTCAATTTACGCCTATGCTTTTTAAAATGTCTGCACGATCCGAAACAAAAAATCAAAATTTAGGACAAATATTGCTTTCAGAAAAATTCGGGACACAAGATCAAAATCCCTTACTTGCAAACACTATTTAAAACGATCTTCTGGATATCTTATGTAATTTTGTATAATAAAGAGTAATTACAAGTTATCATGCGAAATATGTCTAATTGTGGCAGAAATCCCAACAAGCTGGAAGAAACTATGAACTAAAAACAATTTTTACACTATATTTCATTTCACTCCTTCGCGGAACACATGAACCTATCTCTCAAATACGCCCAAAAATACTTTTCTTGCTGGCTATTAATATATAATATGTGGAACATACTCATATATATTGTTGGTTCAAAAATATTCTCTCAAAACTTACGAGCACGAGTAAAACTTTATGTTTAAGATATGCAGAGTAGAGTTAAAATAAAATAGTTACGATATATAAATACTTCTGCAAAACTTTGATGCATAAGTTTGTGAGTTGAATAAATACAGTATTTTTCAATTTATTCCATTTTTAAATGAAAAACCGTTATTAATAATAGGTAAATAAACTTTTTAAATATACTTTCTATAGTAATTCTAACGTTTAATCATATAACTAAATCATTTATATTTGGTCTCATTACTTAACCTGTTATGTAAATAATTATAAATAAAATAAAATACTTAGATCAACAATTAATAAACTATAGCTGTATCATGTAAAAATATTTTTTATTATAAGCAAGCAAAAATTAATTAAAATTGCAAATACTTTTTGATAGTTCATAATAAAGAAAAAGCAAAATAAGATATATTTAGTAAGTTAAGATATAATGTCCCATACGTAAAAGTTATGCCAATATAATAACATCTAGATAAAAATGAGAAAAATTACATGTGGGAAAAAGGTCCTTTACAATTTTTTCAATTAGTATTGTCGTTTAAATTTACACAACATTAAGCATAGAATAAATTGATTGATAACTGCAATATTTCTAGCATTTTCAAATTTTAGAACAATTATAATTTGCATTCATGTACCTGTGGACAAGGATCTCCTTCCGCAAATCTAAATACATCCTTTTGAATTTCATGTGGCTCAATGGATGTACTATTAACAATGATATCCCACAATGTAATTTTCTTAATGTCTTCTATTTCTTCTTTGGTAAAAATTCTGAAAATATAACGCACAATTAGTAATCGAACATTACACAACCTCCTATATATTTGTTTTGTGTGTTTGCAATTTGTTTGTGTTTATTGCAATTAAAATATTAACATTATTTCGTAATAATCCCTATTAAATTATATTTTTGATGCAAACTTATTATGTATAGCTAATTTTTAAAGGTAGTTTTAAAAATTTTAAATTTACACAATTTACATTTATAGCCACTTGATTTAATAATCTTTAAAACTTGTCTACGACAATATAAACCACTAATCTAAATTTTTAATATATTTAATAATTTATTTGAAGTAATTTTTTTTATAATTGACAATAAAGAAGATTAATTTAATTATTAGATTTTTATTAGATCTCAAAAAATTAAATATAGTTAGAAAGATTGACAATAAATTTATATAGTTTTGCAAATAGATCATAAGAGACCTTTCTCTGTTGTTGACACTTTTTTTTTTTAGTAATGTCAGATATTCATGAACCAATTTTTAAACTTGCTGAAGTATAATAAAGCTTTCAAAAATTATTGTGTCTATAATTCATTACTTAGTAATAAATTATTTTTTATTATTGATAATTCCTAGATAACAAATAAACTTGATTAAAGTTATTTATTGTTTTTTGAATTGCTATAAATATACAATATAGAACAAAATTGATAAAAAAAACTATGAATGTTATACCCATTTTCATTTTCGAACCAGAACCTGTCTGCATCTCGTATTCTTACAAATTGTTCGCGAATGACGGCAGTGAAAAGTTCGCCTGGTTTCCCATCAGATTCCAACATACCGCCAACGTAAACGTCGACGTTGTCAAGACGGTTATTGTAAGCTGCCACCAGGAGTCCTAAAAGCTCAGGTCTCGCTGCAAAAAGCTCAGGATTGATTTCCGTCCAGTCATTCACTTTTGGTAATCGAAAATAGGATCTGAAAATGATTGAGAGCATGAAATAGAAAAATAGTTTGTAGAACATATACTATGGAACGGCAGGGATATTGGGAAACTATGCATACATTATATATAGACAACTAGGAATTTGATTTTATGGATATAAAATTGTACTTGTTAGAGTATTATCGTCATTACTACTTAAAATAATTATTATAGCTGTTATATATAAGATGCAAAATATTTTTCAAATTGAAATTAAATAAACATTCACATATCTCATTATTTATGACTGATCACCTCCAGCATTATTATTGTTATATAGATGAAATTAATTCATTTCCATTTTTTCATTTTGAGTAAAAAAAATCTATCATATTATATCTTTTGGTTTTTGATCATTGTGGTACAGCTCAGAAAACTCATGTTTGTGTTGAGTGAGTATCTATCATAATTTGTATGGATCCACTGAACCCATAGATTAATTCAAGCTTATGACTAGTTACTACCTGGCTGTGTTATAATCTGGTAAACCGTTATCACGACCTCGCATTATATTCAAAGCACCTAGATCTCGTCTTGTAAATTCCATGGGACCAAATAAATTTGTCCCGTACATCAGAACAGAGTAAAGAATCTTCACGTTCGGCAATCTGGGAAGCCATTCCTAAAAGAAGTTCTTCTAGAGGACTTTCTTCCAATACATCCTGTAACATAAATATATTGTCTAATAAGAATTTGATAGATATAACATTATTCTGTCAATATTTTAATATGGTCTATTTTGATTTATAACTAATAGGTAGCTCTGAAGTTATTAAGTTAAACACCGAATCTTTATATTATATAGTTCATATAGTAATATAGTTAAGAATCTTAACTATATGACTAATCAAGTCTTATGTTTTATAACTAATCAACAATTTGTGGCACGTGCACATGAAAGCTGTAAAATAAATAATACAAAATATATTTAACATCCTTATAAAGGTTTTCAACAAAAAAATAAGAAACATTTGCTATAAACCTAAAGGATGTTTTTGACTGGTAAAAGTGAAAATATTTTGCAAGTTGTTGCTAGTAACTTTAGTATTTACCTTCTAGTAAATTAATAAAAAATATTATTTTTTATTAAATCAAATTAACAATTTTAATTAAATTACCCGAATTGAATGAATGCCTTTGACCTTACATTATTAAAAACATGTGAAGTAAGAGTTCAAAATGAAGACAAAATAAATTTAAGGAAAAATATATATATTCACTCGAGTGTAATTTTTGTATAATTTAAAAAAATAAATGATTTGAATCTGAAATTTGCAGCATACTCATAGATATACAAGCATACTTTATTTATAAAAATGTTAAAAATCATTGGTATTATATAAAGCCCAGTGAATCACGGCAAAAATAATAACAATTTTTATTATTCGGAGTTTAATATGAGATTTTTTTAAAATGTAGATTCTAATGAGATCTTCAATAACTGCGTCTACATCTGCCGGACGGACAATACACTCCGCTCGAGGGTTGAGCTTTTGAGTTTTACCCTCAGATGGGGGTAGAAAATAATTCGATAGTAGTTTTCTAAAAATGAATACCTTGCATTGATAATTAAAATTGCAGATTTTAATGTTTTTCGAGAAAATTTTTAGTTTAAAAATGTTTAAGTCTTTTTAAGCATGATCTCAATGATCTCAATGGTTTAAAAAACATTTCACCCGAGTTGGCTGAATGGAGAATTGATCAAATTTTTGGGAAGGCAGGTTCAGTCATTCAAAAGATCAACGAAAAAAGTTAAAAAATGCCATTTGGCGGTCATAAATGATCATTAGACATATGCAAATCAATTAACCAGATATTTTATAGAGATTTTAATAACAATTACAATACTTGTTAACTTCCCGTAGGGTAAATTATTGTAATCGTCCAAAAATTAAAATTGAAAATTTTTGCATTTCTCGACGTTTTGAAGGTTGAACATTTTGGCATACCTCAGAAAAAATGGATGTGTGTGTGTGTGTGTGTGTATGTATGTATGGATACAATTTTTCGTACACGTTTTCAGGCGCACGGATCAACCGTTCTAAATGGTTCAGAAAACATTCGACTCCTATTGATAGGGAGATGTGCTGATTAGTATTTGGCAAAGGCAGGTCCAGCCGTTTCGGAGATATGGAGCAAAGAGTGCAGAAAATAAAAATCAAATTTTTGAGAGATCGCAGCATCCGATTTGAATGATCCAAAAAACATTAAATTCGTATTGACGGGGAGAAGGGGTGATTAGTTTTTGGAAATGGCAGGTCCAGCGGTTTAGGAGATACAGAGCAAAATATGCAAAAAATGGCAGTTTTTGAGAGAACTAAGCGTCCGAATTGAATGATTCAAAGAACACACTGCTTGTTTCAACAAAATAATGATTTAGAAAAAAAAAATTTTTTTAAATTTTTTTTTTATGTCGAAAATAATTCAGATTTTATTTTTAATTCTGACTAAAGTTTCAATATACTTTAAACAAATAATTTCAACTTTACAATTCAGTTTATATATTTCTTATAAATATTAGACAATGTTACAATATTTATAAAAATTTATTTGAAAATATTTAATATTCCTCGAACATTTTGTTACGGTACGGGAAGTCCCAGCAATTTGCCTTAAGGCATGATGCCATACACCCCACTAGTTTTTATTTATATAAGTTCAGTACCAAGATTCACAGTATTTAATGCTTACTTATATAGTTTAAACAAATGCCGTTAGCACACTATAAATATCCGACTTGTGGACCGATTCTGCGCATAACAGAGAAATGTTACGGAATGGCTATGTTACGCTCCGACACCCCATACATTATGCTACTGAATCATACTGAATGCTGTCAAAATATCATGTATTTGCTGTTCATTCCGGCGTTTTAAACATAAACTGCAACGTCACTCGTATCTTACCTAAGAGGAATCAGAAACACACACTTATCTAACATCGTTTTTTTGACATTTGTGCGGCTTTTAGGTTATGTTTTGTATGAGAAAACCTGAGAAATTCGCCTGACTGAACACCAACCGCATAACTTTTGTCTATATTACTATGGAAAATTCTTCATAACATGACCTTATCATAACATTGCGGCAGAATCGGTCCCTTGATTTGGTTTCAAAGTTTTCAAGAAATTTCGGAATTTTCAAAAATTTTGATTATTAAAAATAATTCTTTAAAAAATGTAATTTTTCAATTTGTTTTTAATTTGAAAAAAATATGAATTACGGTGCGGAAAGTTCGTGCAATTTTTCAAAGCAAAATTGGTTAATTTAGCTAAACTAGCTAAACAAAGTTAGTTAGTCAATAATCTTTGCTAAACTAGCTAAGCAACCATTAACAAAAAATCAAGTTCTGTTAGGTATAATTAAAATGATAATAAAACAAGCCAGTCTGTTTAGTTGTAATTAGTTTATAGACTTATAGAATCTAATAATCTCATATTTTCCATTACTTACATTCGAATCCCACCACGTGGCGCAAAGTCTGATGGCCTGATGACCAGCTGCCGTGCGTTTGTAGTTACATTTACCATCTCTTCGGTACATTCCTGGTGGTATCATGGTGTGCCCGAAGCGGAAGGCCGCACTCTGGAATACGTGACTCACACCAGGGATGGACGTCCGGTCGGTAACCCGTGTACTCGGGCAGCTCTTCGCCTAAGAATGCCGGAAGATACTCGTATGCTATGATATTCTGTTGAGAATAAATAAATGTTGGATTATAAAATTATATGCAGTATGGATCTATTGAGAATATCCAGCTAGGAATGAAAGAGGGGATATTCTAGCTTGGTAGAAAACAGATGATTTTTGGTACATTGATTCTTTTTCGACTGCCGTCAACAATAATTAATTAATATGTAAATGAAAATGATTAGAAGTAAATTCATTATTGTTGATTTGTATTTTTATATTAAAATGTGTTTTCAAAAATTTTTGTTATGTATAATTATTATTAGTAGTAGTAGTAGGATGCTACATTTTTCGATCTAAAAATTTTTCTGTAGTACACATTTTTGAATATTTTATTTCACAAAAACCCCTTTATAGTAGAGATTATGAAATTAGTTCGATTCTTTGTCTTGTAGTTTGCTTTCGCACTCAATGAAAAATATAATTCAGCTATATTCTTCACAATTTTGAAATTCAATTTCAAGACTATTTAAACATACATCATCTCTAGTATATTTTTTGCTGACACTTTAGAGACTATACTATAACAACTAATAGAAAGTAATAAATTATTGAATGTTTACCTGTAACGATGCTACAACAATTCTTCTGGCTCTCTGAAAGACTTCTTCATCCGGCCACGTTGGATGTTGACGTTGTACTCGACCAGCAATTACATTGTGCCAACGAAAAAATAATATTCCAAAAGCTAATAGAGCAGGATTTTGATTGGAACGTGGATCTCCAAGTACTATAATAAAAAAAACTACATTTTATAGTTAAGTTCAGATACTTTTGTAAAACATATGCGTATCTTTTGGCAAAATATAAAACAAATTTAGTATGTTGCATTGAGCACTCACATACTTTGTTTTTATAACTTCTCATACTTTTACAATAGTTAATTAAAGAAAGAAAAAAAAAACAAAATTTATCAAGTCAAACATTCAATTCAATTCATTAAAACTTGTAATATTAAACTATAATTTTAGGACTTAGAAGCACGTGCATGTGCAATATAATTAATATACATAATTACAGAAATTTTAAATGTGTTTGAAAACATTCAATTGTAAATCGAAATGCTTAGATTTAATTGAAAGCAAAAACTTTTTTTTTCGAAATAAACATTTAAAAATTTTATCTAAATATCCTAATCTCAATTTCGGTTGATTAAGAAAATTATAACACATTTCAAGAAGTTCATGCAACTTGCCTTAAAGCAAAATACTACTTTCAACTAGGCAAAATGCTACTTTCAATTATAGTGCAGTAAACGAAGAGGAAAAAAGGGTATAACCTCTGAATTTTTTTAATGTGCTCCGAATTGAATGAAATTTTGGAATTAGGTTCATCTTACCCTCAAGTTCAAAAGTGAAAATAATTCGGGTTGCGCCATCACCCCCCAGGGGGATGACACCCCCTCTCAATTGTGTAATTACATGTTTTCAAAATAACGTCGGAAATCGATAGAAGAACTAATTATAAGAAAAAAATGTCTTTTATAGTTTTTCAAAAAAACTAATACTTTTCAAGTTACTGGCCACTAAATATTCATATATTTTTGGTGTTTTTCTTCGTTTTTTCGCAAATATCTCCTAAAATATACATTTTAACGAAAATCATGTTATGAACAAAATAATGTCAATAAAAATCTTAATAAATGGGTATTACATAAAGTGTTCTAGGAAAAATATTAAGCAAGATTTGAAAGAGCAAAGTCGTTTTTTATTTCGTTCAAGATTTAATTGTTGTATTTAAAGCCATCTAGTGTCGAGGTTTTACATTTTATGCATTTCGGTGAAATTGGGTTTTATAGTGCTCAACATAAGCTTTAAAATGAGTGATGTTACAAGTTTTTTGCGTGTAAAATGAGTGAGCTATCAAGCAAATAAGAAGCATATACGAAGTTTTTTTCTTTTAAATCACATAGTTTAATGAGCGCCATTTCCACCAGAATTAAAGTAATTCACATTCCATCTAGAATTCACTTCATTATAGACATCTTAATGGATTCTAGCAGATTCACTACTTTAGTACAAGCTATTTTCAGAAAACTCACGATTTTATAAAAACTTTTTTTTCCAACTTGCGCGGCCGCGCAGTCTTTAAACATTCATAACTCTGTCAATTTTTGTGTGAAAGAAAAATAATAAATAACAAAAACAAGCCAGAAAAATCCCTTTGATTTTTATCTATATGCTTTTATACGTATCTTTTATTTTTTTTGAGATATAATGAAAATAATTTCGATTTTTTAAAAAATTGGAAAAAAAAGTTTTTATAAAATCGTGAGTTTTCTGAACATAGTTTGTACTAAAGTAGTGAATCTGCTAGAATCCATCAACATGTCTATAATGAAGTGAATTCTAGATGGAATGTGAATTACTTTAATTCTGGTGGAAATGGCGCTCATTAAACCATATGATTCAAAAGAAAAAAACTTCGTAAATGCTTCTTATTTGCAGGATAGCTCACTCATTTTACACGCAAAAAACTTGTAACAGCACTTATTTTAAAGCTTATGTTGAGCACTACAAAACCCAATTTCACCGAAATGCATAAAATGTAAATCCTCGACACTAGATGGCTTTAAATACAACAATTAAATCTTGAACGAAATAAAAAACAACTTTGCTCTTTCAAATCTTTCTTAATATTTTTCCTAGAAAACTTTATGTAATACCGATTTATTAAGATTTTTACTGGCATTATTTTGTTCATTACATGATTTTGGTTAAAATGCATATTTTAGGAGATATTTGCAAAAAAACGAAGAAAAACGCCAAAAATATATGAATCTTTAGTGGCCAGTATCTTGAAAAGTATTAGTTTTGTTGAAAAACTATAAAATACATTTTTTTCTTATAATTAGTTCTTCTATCGATTTCCGACGTTATTTTGAAAAAATGTAATTACACAATTGAGAGGGGGTGTCATCCGCCCGGGGGGTGATGGCGCAACCAGAATTGTTTTCACTTTTGAACTTGAGGGTAAGATGAACCTAATTCCAAAATTTCATTCAATTCGGAGCACCGTAAAAAAATTCAGACCTAAAACGCTCCGTTTACTGCACTATTAGTATGATATTGATGTCAATCAACAAACATACAATACAATTCACATTATTTGTAATTTTTTACAAATACTTTATTTATCCTATTTTATTTTATCTTTTATTATATATGATTCTGATCAATATCAATGTACAAACATAATTTACAATACTATAATACAATACAATTTACATTATTTGTAATTTTTATACAAATACCATCAGATTATTAAAAAAAAAATATTTCATTGTAATATTGTAAAATATAAATATTAAAATTGTAACCAATTTTAATACAAATAGCATAGGATTAATAATGAAATTGCAACCAATTTTAATACAAATATCATAGGATTACTGAAAAAAATACATTTCATTGAAATTGAAATCTTTTACAATTTCATTATTTGTATTTTTATAATACAATAAAATGATTTTTTTAAACAATCCCATAATATTTGTATAAATTAATAAAAAATGATAAGTTTTTCGAAACATGTACTCTAATGTTAAAGAAAGAGCATACCCAAATCTAACGTGAAGCACTGTACGTCTGTACGTATATTATAAATAATGATAAAGAGATCTTTTATTGGGGTCCTTTCGGACCCTCCAAAAATTGCCATAGCCCACGGTATTTCACGTGGTCTCGGCGGGGTATTGGTAAAAGTTTTCAACTAGCAATAATCGCACCTCGGATGAACCTCATTGGTTACGATATCGCCACTGCGCAAAGCTGACGAGCGGGGCCAAGACGGGTTCTTATATCCTAATACGAGCAGTATTCTGCGGCGTGCGCTTCGAAACGGAACGTTGAAACTGCTTGAAGGTAGAAACGATGAAGGTTTCGTTCTTTTTTTATTGTTATTATTTTGTACAAATGTACATATTAACATATGAACATTATATATTTAATATATATTTATATAGAAGACGATTCTTTTTATATTAATGTAAAATTAACAAATATTAATATAAGAATATTATATATATTTTTAATATTTTTAAAACCTCCGAAAGGAGAATTAAGTGCGATTTCCTAATTTTCTATTTTTTCAAAGTCATTCTGAATCGAATGAGACCAAATTTGGGAAAAGTATGCGTGTGTGTGTATGTGAGCTGACTTTTTACATTTAATCGACGTTATTGCTCAAAAACGGTTAGACCAATTTCAAAAATTTAAAAGCCTTGAAATTTAAAATTTGAAAGCAAAAATGTTATTTTCGAAATAAGCAGTTGAATATTTTAACTAAGTAACTCAAACTCATTTCTTATTAACTTCCCGTAGGGCATGTTATGGTAATCGCAGAAAAATCGAAAATGAAAATTTTCATATATCTTTACGTTTCAAAACCTTCTGAACATTTTGGCATACCTTTTTGGATGTATGTGTGTATGTGTGTATGTACGTGCGTGTGTGTATGCGTGTGCGGATACAAATTTTCGTCGACGATTTCGGGAACACGAATGAACCGATTTGAATAATTAAGAAAACATTCAATTCGTATTGATTAGGAGACGTGATTAGTTTTTGTCGAAGGTAGGTCTAGACGTTCAGAAGATATGGGGCAAAGAGTGCCAAAACGGTAACTCAGTTTTTAGGGAAACGGAGCGTTCGATTTGAATAATTCAAAAAACATTTTACTTGTATTAACAAGATGAAGAACTGATCAAATTTTCATGAAGGCAGGTCTAGAAGTTTCGGAGATCTAGTAAAAAAAGTATAAAAAAGCCATTTGGCGGTCAAAAATGATCATTAGACATATGCACATCAAATTATCAGATATTTTATAGAGAGTTTAACAATAAGTATAAATTTTGTTTGCATTCCTATGGGTTCCGTACCAATGTTTATTCGTTAGACGGCGACGCGGCGCTTACGCGCTTTCACATTTTGTCTCTATGCAGTTAAAGCAGTACGATTGCTTTGAAAAAAAAAAGTTCAGAATTTCCAAAATATTTCAAAATAAATTTTTCCTCAAAAATTCTTTTTTTTTTCAGAGTAATTTTTTTTCAAAAATGTTAATCTTTTAAAAAAAATATAATTTTTGTTACGGGAAGTTCCAGCGAATTGCCTTAAGACACGATGCCATGCGCCCCACTAGTTGATTTATTTGATTATATATACGTATCGGGTATTAATTCTATCCTGCCTTAATGCAAAATTCTACTTACTACTAGTCATTTTCTGAATTCTCTTATTACTTACGAAATAGTCGTTCAGGACTCAGCATTCTCATGACGTGAGGAACCGGGTTATTAAATAATGGCACCCTCATAGTATTTCGAATCGGCATGGTGCCATGAGACGTCTCTTCGCCAAGCAATGTGCCATTGTGAAAAGAACGCATGGCATTCAACCAGGGCTCACTGCTGCTATATATGAAGCTACCATCTATCCAGGATGTCATCTGATTTATCTGAAATTATATCCATCGATAAAGGCAAATTGTTAAAAATATTTATATTTTTGATAAGCGAAATAATTTGAAATTCGGACTTGTTTTAAAATTCATGAAAATATTTATTATTTATTATTCATTCACCTGTATTTTCAAAATATTTTTTTACAAAATTTTCAAAGTAACCTGAACCCAAAAAACTTAATTAAAAAGATAGCACTAGTGTTATATTACAAATAAAATAACAGTACTTAATATGTTCAGAATTAAAAATCGAAAATAGTGCGTTTCCTATACAAAGCAAACTTCAAGAAAATATTATATATATATTGTTGAGAATTATTATCTATTAAGCAATATCATATGTTATCAGATTCCATATTATAATAAGTTTGTAATTTCATGTTTGTAAGTTCAGTACCAAATCCAACATTAACATAAAACTTTTATAAATCAACCCTTATTCGTACAAGAAGGGTCGAATCAGGTATAACAAATTATTATTGAACGAGAGGATTCTGTTACGATTGAACCGCCAACATCGACACGCTTTTAGCACTCAACTATGTAGGTTATAATTTAAAATAAAATCAATAATTCTTAAAAAAGTTTTAGTGTTTATATATCAGAAGGAATCCAATATATAATATCCCTGAGCAAAATTTACCCTATTGTCTCTGGTTTTTGAAATACATCTTTATTTATATAAAAAATCAAGAATCAGATAGGTAATGCTGATCATTTTGGGCTTGTATTGTTAACTTTTTCGCAGAAATGACTCTAAAATCATATCGTTCTGGCAAATATATATCTCATCACACTGTCAATTTAAGAATAAGTTTTCGTTATTAGTAAATAATCGCTATTGCAAGCAATTTGACAATAGGATATTGTAACAAAATTGATTATTGATGAAAGATTTTTCATTACATTTGATAAGTAAGTTAAAATACAATTTGATTTTATGTAATGTAATGTAATGGAATAAATAAATATATTTTTGTGAATATAAATATGTACATAATATTAGAAATGAACTTGCATAAAATTTTCAAAAAACGAAAAATTATCAGAAAATGGGACATCCAGGGGGCAAACATAATCAATGTCTTATTTTTAATTTCAGAAGGTTTTGATGATATAGTAGCTGCATTATTCAACAAATGCAAAATATGGATTTCATAGGTACATTTTTTACAAGATAACACTGTATATCACCTTGATCTGGCATTTTGACAGAAATATTCGTCAGTAGAATTGGAATAACTATATATTGCACTTATCTCTTGTAATTTTTTTTTATAAACTAATTTTTACTGTTCAAACCTTTGCCAGGGTAATGATCCTTTTTACCCCCAGGTGTAAATATAAAAATCCTGTGAAATTTAACTTAAAATTAACAATTCATCTTCTAAAATAATTGAATAATAAAAATTATATTAAGGGCTCATAAATCGAACAACAGTGTTCACAAACAAAGAACTATCAACAAAAGAAACTTTTGTTGTGGATTTTCAAACATTTTCGATTATCTTCCAATAGCAACTTCTTAAAATTAAGGTGATGGCTTGTTATGCGTCTTTTTCTCTATAATTTCAAATATTGTTGTTGAAAAATTCTAAACTTCACTCGTTTTTGAGATATCAGTAGTGAAACTTTTTACCCGCGAAACTTCAAACCCCACTCTACCATATATATATATATATATATATATATATATATATATATATATTAGGGTGGTCCTTAAAATGGTCATTTTCGAATTTCCTTGCTCCCAGGGGCTCAAATGGTTCCAAATTGATAAAAAACAATTCTCTGAAAGTTTTAGCTCTTAATATTAACTTTTATATAGTGCGCATTTCAATCAAACTTTGTATGGAAATATTACGGAAAAAAATTGAAAATTAAAAAAAAAATTTAGGTACAACTTAGCGACAAATGAATTAAAAGTGAACATTTGTGTCATATTATATTGAAAATTCGACGATCTGCAAAATTTTTGAAAATTTTTTCATGCTATTTCCATACAACACTTTGATTGAATTTCGCCCTATCTAAAAGACAATATTAATAGCTAAAACTTTCAGAGAATTGTTTTTTATCAATTTGGAACCATTTGAGCCCTTAGGAGCAAGGAAATTATATATATATATATATATATATATATATATATACATACATATATATATATATATATATATACATATATTATATTCCAAACATATCGGTTTTTGCTTACAGTGCCATATGCAAAAACATCTTGAGATTAATGAACTTTCCAATTAATTATCGAGTTACAAAAGGTATTTTAATTAATCCCTTTTGAGGCGCAGGTTAATTCTGTTTACCAAATTTTAAAGAATTTCCAATCGCATACATCAAATGTAATTACAGGAGCGAAGAAGAAAGTGAAACAAGGCGCGATATAATTACTCTTCGGAATCGACTATCGATCACGAAGTAAAAAATATGAATTTTAAAATTGGCTTTCGACATGATTTAATTATCCTCTTTTCCTTCGGCCACCTGACATTTCATTATTATTATTATTGGAGCATTGTTTATTGTTGCGATCGTAAGTAACGCAATCAGAATTGAAGCGAAAGCGAACAGATTCAAGTATCATGTAGTATGTGAAGAGAAATCAATGCGAATTCCAAATCGAAATCCAAATCAATCTCCGGACGAGCGAACAATGGAGAATTTATGACACCATAAAAGTATTTAGGAGATTCTAGGCTAGATTGTAACAAACCTTGACGCAATTGATATCAATAGAAAGTTATCGATATGATCTGGATATGTAAAGTAGTATTATTATTTTGTTAAGTGATCTGGATGATAGCAATTTGGTGTTGTAATCAGAGAAGCAACCATGATTCTACTTCAGAAAACTTTAGCTCTATGTATATCTGTATGTCTTCATAAACTATGGTTCCTGATAATTTTTAATTCTAGCCTTCAGAGTGAGAATTGAAGAAACAGAATCCAAATATTTGGAAAATGCTGCTTTACTGAAAATATGAGGACCAAGATAAAATGAAAACTAAACTATCATATTTAAATTATTGAAGAAGAACTTTGATATGTATGTGAGCGAAGCAAGAAAAGCAACCTTTCTCAACGTTTTCTCAAAAAGCTACACGAATTAAAAAACGGAAAAAAAACTTTAAAAATTTTAATTAATTTGACGGACCTAAAAACATTTGCTAGTTTTGCGAGATTATCTTCCGAATTACTTTAGAGTTAATAGAAAATTGTATAGTTATTCATCCACTTTTCGCTCAAAATTCTCAACTGATTCCGAAAATTTTCTTTAGCAAAACCTTTAGCAAGATATTGTTTAAGAATCGTGCTTATTAGTTTTTGGTAAGATCGATAAAGACGTTTCTTCGTAATTAGCTATATTCGACTTTTTTGACGTTGTCGAAACTTTGTACGATTATGAAATAGATATTCCTTACGAATGTCGTAACATATTACGAAGCAAAACAACGAACGACTTTAAAAAGAAGCTTATTTAAAAAATCTATTAATTGAATTCATTGAATAATGAGCCGTGTCAAAAATTTAATATAATACATGACAATTGAATAAGATACATTTACACTCGCCTCAAACAAAGTGCTACTCACAACTTCTTTTTTATTATCTTAGCAAAAACTGATTAAATTAATAATTTTTATGAACTTTTGTTGTAATTACTAATCAACGGTTGACCATTAAGATATATTTTTATTTTTCTAATACGTACTTATGATATATTTTTAATAGGATGTTGTAAAACACTATGTGAGAAGTTCCAAGCGCCAATTAAAAATAATGTATAAAATCTATAGTTAGACCTACACTTCATAAATTTAAAAAACATATAAATTCTTGATAAGGGCATAAATGGCTATTCTTTATATAGTGTTATAACAAAAAATATCAACCAACTGTACAATAGTGAATATTAGAAAATACTATCTATATAACAATCAAATTATTGCATTAGAAGACAAAAAAGTTAAGCAAATGAGCTCGTAGCATCAATGTTCAACGTTTTAAATATTTCATGTTGTTTCTTGTCACCATCCAAATCCATTAAAATCCTCATGTCCCATATCTTATATTATCTTCAAGTATAATTTTATCAAGCTAAGTTGAAAATAATACGTCCAAAAATCTTATCCAGTTCATTTTTTAAGCCAGCTATCGTCTTAAAATCGTCCAATATTCCATCATTGCACTTTTGACGTCCGGGCCAATACGTCGATCCTTCGATAAAACGGATTTGGATTCCGACAATCATTTGTTACTCGTACACATATCGAATGGTAAGAGAGCTAAGAAACATTTTACGAATACTTTCTTATCTTCAGATGACAAAGGTCAGGATGAAATAAACTTTCGATCCATAAAAAAATTGCTTTGAATTTCATTGTCTACAACTAAAAACTATATTGCAATGAATCAAATTTTGCATGAACATTTCATGCATAGATATAATTTTGAGAGTATATTTATCATTTTATCCAATTACTAATTTCATAATTTTGACAAAATTTAAATTTTGTATATATTAACAATAAAAACAATATTTTAAAATTATTTCGTTTATATGATTATAATGTTTTAAATTATAATTGAAGCAGTGCTTTAGATAGAACATATCCAAGAATATAAATATAGAATTTTTGTTTAATATTTGATATATTAATACTATAATAACGTGAAAAATTAGTAAATTTTATTCGATAAAAAATATAATATTTCAAGCAATGAATATTGAACAAGGCATTTACAATTTCATTATGACATATTAAAATTAACCATATGTAATTTTTTGTTAAACAATGTTTTAAACAACAAGTTGTATTGTATTGTAACAAGTATTGTAACAACATTATTGTATAAAGCACTTTGAATCTAAAGTTTATTATCAAATTATTAATTTTTTTTTTTCAAATTTCAATTAAATAATCACTTGTATAGATTATAGATCACATGCAGGATTTTTTCTTAATACATCATTATGAAAAATCTTCTCAATATTGGATTTTTTTTTTTGAGCACATGAAGACTAGATTATTGTTTGTGAAAGTATATAAATAAAAATATTCGTACCGAAAGGTATCAATAAATGTAAATTATCTCAATACACTAGAATTATTAACATCAGTATTTGATTCAAAAATAACTTAGTCGAAAAGGCTCAAGAAGTACGGAAACTTTATAAAGAATATGAGGCATTTAAAGTAATAAAATCTGCATTGGACTCGTTTTACATTACGAGTACCTGCTGAAACTCGAATGACTAAAAAGATTGTAAAGAAAATCAGTTCAAATAAATGACCACTTACGTAACAAGAGAAAGTACAGAGAATATACAAGTTGTAAAAGGGTCTCTTCCTTGAAAAAAAAAATTGGATGTCTCACATAAACACCTGGCCCTATAAAACTAAATTAAAGTTGTTAAATATATTTTAAAATCACCAGCTCTTCAACTTCAATTGGCCCTTTCAGTCCAATAACGAGTGAAAGACGTGTTTCTGCAATAATCGAAATGTACGCAAGTGTTATTGCAAGCTGCCGCACGCACCGTCAATGACTCTGAGTGACATATTGATTGACGTATCTCAATACGAAATGATTAATTTGGTTGTCAATAATATAATATTGGCAATAAACGTACGGTATAACATACAAGACGACCTTAGACATTCATCACACAATAAATTTTCGGGCGCACAAATATATAGTACAGTAATAGAGTGGTAAGTGAATCAATTGTAAAGTAATTACTCATTTGTTGATAATATCTTAGCCAACTTTCGTTATTTGCTTCGGAGTTCTTTCGAGTTCATAATATTTTTTTTCTTTCTTAATCAAATCAATTTAACAAAAAATGATTAATGATGATTGCAATAACATGGAAAGTCGAGCCAAATACAGCATATTTGTTTTGCAAACGAATACCTACACATGTTGTTGGTTTTGGATGAGACTTGATAAAAGACATATCTACCTTCTGAAATCGGTTGTACTTTTTATGTTTTCATAAGTTTTATGTCTAATGCGAGGGAAATTGTTGCAGCCATTTTTTATTTTATAGAGCATTCACTTTTGCCTAATTTTATCCTCTTTTTTATATAATTCAACATTTTTTAATAAAAATTCCCACAAAGCAGCCGTATACCCATGTTTAGGAGTTCAATTTTCGCAGAAACAAAAAATATGAATAAATATAATAAATGATAATTTACAAACTTATTTTGAAAACTTTTATATACAAAATGGTAAAATTCAAACTTCTAATTATTTACTACTTCAATTGATTCGGCATTGAGCCAAAATTTTCGAAAGCCGACAAATATTTTTGATATAATTTTTGTCAGATCTTCGAACAAAATTCAAATTAAGCAACTCAATTTATATTAAAAAATACTTGTTGCATAGCATACTTAATGTTTCAAATAAGTTTAAAGTTTTAATTCATTTAATAAGTTTACAATTAAATAGCGATCATAATAAAATATTGCATCCCGTTTTACAGTTAAAATGTATAGCAAAAAATTGCAAAACCAGTTCTGGACTTTTTATTACAGCATTGATAAAATGCTAATCGGCAAGAAATTTCGTAAGCGGAAAACTAAAATTTCTAACCGAAACAAACTGACCAAAGTGAAGTTAAATATAGGAACAATCCAAACACAATTTTCTTTTTTTGTTACTATATTATTCATTAATAGCAATCAGACATTAATGAGCTATATGAGCTATCGTGATGACTTCTTAATAACGTGGATTTATATATGGCGACTCAGCTGTTGCTCTATATTCTTTTACTATTTTTATATTTCTTTTAGTATAAGAAAATCTAATACTCCATTGGTTGCAATAATGTCAAGAAAAGACTATTTGTACTTGAAAATATATTGCTATCTATATTTTCAAGTGAAAATCGAAGTCAATACGGCTGTTCAAAGCGGGTATTGAATTTGGAACTTCCAATTCCTATTTCTAATGATCTACGGATTTTTTAATGGTAACTCATAGCGTTACTATGATATACTCTATCTATATAATCTACGGATTTTTTAATGGTAACTCATAGCGTTACTATGATATACTCTATCTATATAATCGACATTTTTTTTAATTTTCTTATTTTGTTTGCAGTATAGTTACATAAATCCACAACAATGAAAATATCTATCACAATAACCCTGTAATATTTTTAAGATTAGAAGCAGAAACGATTAGATGATTGGGGAAGAAGCACCCCTTCGATCTAATGCAGTGAAATAATGCAACCTATTGCGGTGACTTCTATCAGGCCATGCACTATATAGAACTCCAGTACTGTTCCTGGAGTTCTAAAGATCAATACTATAAGTTATAGAATTTTTTTCTGTTTGCTATATAAATATATATAATAATAATAATAATAGGCTGTACTGCCCTAAGACAGTTCTGTGAGCTGAGTTAAACTCCAGCTCAATTCAGGGAAGAGTTTTTCCAATTTGCCAGTAGTGTGAGAGTTTTTCCAAGAAAATGGACATCGCGCTGCCCGATGTCAGATATATATATATATATATATATATATATATATTTATTTAATCATTTACCTGTTCTCTAGGCATATTAGGACTCATTCCCGTCCTCCGATCGTAGGCTGCCCGGTGGAAAGGTATGTAGCGATCGCCTCGGCATTCTGGATCATACATTTCGTCGCAGCGATCAATTTCTATCCGGTGCATCTCGATAGGACATCCACTCTCGGATGCCATCACGATTTCAGAAGTCACGACCTGGCCTAATATAATATTATATTATAGTAGTGTCAAAAAAATTGCTTAGAAGTGACAAAGTACACTATTTGATACTGTTATTAATAAAAAAATATAATATTAATAAATAATAAAATTGGCAATATTTTTTTCTTAAATTAAGATACACATTCTTATTAACACTACTAAATTTTGAAAAATCCGAAGTTCTTATGATATTTCTAAATCAGTTAATTTCAATAACTAATATTATTTTGCTAGCACTATAATTAGTTTTGAGTACAATTTTTTATAAGTACGTCACGCCGAATTAGTGTCATTATACTTCTTCTATTAAGGAGCCCGGATTCCTAGCTTGTTACCCGGGTTTATCATAAAGCAATATTTGTCCCGGATTTTAATTTTTTGTCTTGTTTGTTCCGGTTTTTCGAAAATTAATAGTTAAATTAACTACAATTAAGAAAACAAACTAACAGATGCTATTTTTTTCAAATTTATTATGAAAAAAATTGACTAGAACATATAGATTAAAAAATATAAGATATATTATAATATTATAGATAAAGAAGTATTCGAAGTAAGTCGAAGGATAAAGCTCTTACTAAAAGTCAGCAATTTTGATAAAAAAAGATTCATTTAAAAAAACTGTTTTTCATTGTATCCTTGAATAGTATTTGTTATATAAACGACTAACACCCTCCCCCCTTCCCCGACGTCCCGGATTATCATAACTAAAAATTGCCGTCCCGGATTTGATTTAAAAATATATGGACACCTTACTTCTATCTACACCTACAAGATTCAACTTATCCAAGTTTAGTAAAAATAAAAAAAGTAAATCATTGACAACAAAAGTACTACTATCAAAATTACGCCAGCAATTAGTGTATCAATTTATCTTACAATCTAAACTTCCATTGAATTTATTCGAATGATATGATTCAATCATATATGTAATGTTGCACTTACAAAAGTTATTTATTAATTGAAAAATATGTCAAGTCATTTATATCACTTCACCTATCTGTCCAATACCCGACATCCACGACTGTTAAATGTTTAGATTACAAATAATAATTTTAATGTGACACTAAAACTCCTTTATAAGTTGTACAGTTCAAAAGCAGCAAAAAATGATGATTGTATTCATGTCTCAATATAATAGCTTGATTGATAATATATATATATATATATATATATATATATATATATGTATATATATAGGGGAAGTAGGAGCTTGTTGTAACAGGTTTTAAATTAATATGTCCTAAAATCAACAGATTTTATTTTTACTAAATAAGAAAGGGTGGTTGCTGCAATTATTTTCCTACAGATTCAATTAAAAATAATTCCACTACTACTGTTTAGTAATTTTTAATTAATCACTTTCTAAAAAAAAGTGCGATGTTGCAACTTACCCCGTGTTTGGGCATAGTCGTAACATTTATCAGAGCAAGTAGTAACAACATGAAATCGACAATAATTTCTCTGATCATTTATTCTTTACTCATTTTTCATGAAAATTGATTTGTTTCTAAGTAATTCTATTCATACATCAACGCAAACTATAATTAATACAAATAAAATATATAATGTCTTCTGTAATATACATTTTTATCAAAAATCAACGTAAACTACAATCAATATTTTACTTTAAATAAAAGATAGAGTGTCTCCTGTAACATAATTTACATTTGCCACATCTTACAAAATATATATTCCATTAAATTCTCATCACTTGAATCTGTATATAATTTCTGTATGTTACAACTAGCCCCAAGGTTTTGTTGCAACTAACCCCAGGTGTGATTTTTTTTTACATTAATTAAATTAACTAATTCTGCAATTTATCAATCACAAAATTTGTTACACATTATCAAAGAATTTGGAATAAAATAAGATACTGAGAATTTAATATTAGTCGATAATAATAATGCCAACCGCAATTTTGTGATAAATCAATTTGATATTGCATGTCAAAAATGACGGACCTGCACAGTTCTGTTTATTACGTCGACCTGCGGGACTGTAGCTATGATAATATTATGCAGGAAGGTTTACATGCCCAATGGATAAAATTTTTACCTTCCTGTAGGGTAAGTTATAGTAATCGCAATAAAATCGAAAATGAATATTCATATATATCTTCACGTTTCAGAGGTTTCTGAACATTTTGGCATACCTTAGAAAAAATGAATGTTTGCGTGTGTGCGCGCATGTGTGTGTGTGCGGATACAAATTTTCGTCGACGATTTCGTGATCACGGATCAACCGATTCGAATAATTCTAAAAACATTTTACTTGTATTGGCGAAATGAACAATAGGTAAAATTTTTGTAAAGGCAGGTCCAGCGTCTCCGGAGATAGATCAAAAATGACCATTAGACATACATATGTACATGTATAATATCAGATATTTTATAAAGATTATAATAATAAGTACAAATTTTGTGTGCATTTATATGGGTTCCGTACCAATATTTAGGCGCTTTGATATTTCGACTCTAAATCAGCTATGCAGCGAGATTGCTTCAAAAAAGGTTCAAAATTTTCAAAATAAATCAAAATACAAAAAATCAAAATAAAAAAAAAAAATCAAATTTTAAAAAAAGTCAATATTTTTCAACAATTTCAAAATTTCTCAAAAATTAGATTTTTCAAAGTTTTGCAAAGTTTTGAATTCAGTTTTTTGTACGGGAAGTTCCAGCAATTTGCATTAAGGCACGATGCCATGCACCACTAGATTTTATATCGTTTAAGATCCCATTGAAATTCTGTTACTAGTTACCCCTGCTACCAATAGCCCCAAGCTCCTCTATATAAATATATCTCGAACAGAAGACGGAATAAATTAGAAAGTGAAATCATAACAAGACATCATTATTCACGCGGTATTATCTAATAGAAACATCTATGCGAGATCTAAATCACAATTAGTATTCTAGGAGCTCTTTGTCATGCAAATTCAAAAGGAAAAACCTTTCACGTATATGGTGTCTGTAGATTTTTCACTATAATTATTTATTGCACACGAATGCATACCGTTAATAGTTACAAAATAGCATAACGGTAGAACAATAAGATTTTTTCACATGCAGTTATTGACTGTCAGCTTTACATACGATTTAATAGCGAAACTTGAACTATTCACTATTCAGAGACGTGTGGGAATTTTAATATTGTATGATGAAGAACAAATGAGAATTGTTATAAAATTTAATTTTTGCATTTTTTAATTATTTGAATATTTTAACATAAGAGAGAAACCCAAGTGATAAAAATAATTTCAGAAACTACAAGGAGGAAAATGTTTTTTCATTTAGTGAATATAATATAAATCAGAAATTTTTGTTCTAGAGGTATTTTTTATCTCACTTGGGGTATCAAATACCACGAAAAATTACCAGATCACCCAAACAAATATCTAGAAGAATTAAGCGAGGAATCTCCTACTCGAAGATTGAGAAAAAAATGGCCATACGATCTTCAATAAAATGTCAAAACATAAACTTCTCCTTCGGGAAGTTAAAAATAAAAAAAGTAATATCTCACAGGAGATAATATCTTAAATGCATTTACACCCAGAATATTGTATTTAAAAATGTATATTATTTTGATCGGCAATAAATCTACGCAAATAAAAAAACTTGGGGTATCGAAATCGAAAAAAGGTGTATAAAAATTAAATAAAATTTTAGGGATGTACAAATCGAAAAAGTCTAAAATCTGATCATTTATTACATCCTTACTAAAATTCAATTACTATATTAACTAGACTTAATTATTTACTAGAGATTTTTTTCAAATTATTATTTAAGCATACGAATGTTTACCTAGAACATGTTTATTGTAAATTTTACATATGTGAAGGTGCCAAAAACACAAGGGGCAAAAACCTTCCAATATGTGTAAATAATCTACATATTAAATACAATTTAAGATTTAGCAACTTTAAAAGTTGTGACAATAGAAGTTTAACATTTTGTCACGATCCATTTTGGCAAACTTTGATGAATTTTTGAAATTGAACCATGTTTTGCAAAACTAATGAACTTTAGTCCTAAATGAGTTTCATTGAATGACTGAACACATTAATCACCACGATAAGGTCGAAAAAAAATTCACAGGGGCCTTGGTAATTTTATTAGACAATTTAGTTAAAACAGTATCAAAGAAATTTTGGTTTTGAAAATTCCTGGCAAAAACACTTTTTGGGTCACACACATATAACTGACATTAACATATTTTAAAACTTTTTTAGCAAATATAATTTTGAAAAGTTAAAAATATTTAAAGAATACACATCAAACCAATATTCAAACTTTCAGAAAACTTGTAAAAATAATTTTCAAATAAAATATAATAAATAAAAGAAATGTTGAAATATTAAAAACAGTGACTGCTTCAAAAATTCTGTTGGCACTATTTTCTTGTAAATGTTAAATGTCAATTTATTTATTATTTTATTCTTTTACTAATTTTTATAAAAAAAGTTGCGGCGATTTTATTTCGAATGTTATGAACTAGTTATTTAACCAGTCAACTGTAAATGACTAATATAGTTGCCATAAAAAGTGGCAAAATTTTGTATATTAACGAGTATATTTACCATGCGTATACATCAATGACTATTGAATATTTAGATTGCCTTTTTTTAAAAAAAAAAACAAAACGTATTTTTAACTTTCAAGATCTTTCGAATATTTTGAGCTTAGGCCAATAAAACAAAATAGTTGTAATATATTTCAAATCAAAATTGGTACATTGTTCCATAGTAGTCAAGATAGTAATATAATAATAGATAGATAGTAATCAAGTCATTCAAGCTTAAATTATGTAAGAATATCGGAATTTGAGATGCCCAGCTGTGAGTCTGTAAATACTTGTATATTGACACCTTAAAGGTAGGGTGTCAATACCATATGTAGGTTTTGAGACAACTTTAGGGTGCCAATATACAAGTATATACAGACTTACAGCTGAATACCTCGAATTCCGAGGTGAACTTACTATAAATGGATAATTGAAACTATAATAGTTTACTTCGTCAATGCAAAAATCTATTAAGTTTAATATTAAGACCCACCAAAAAACGCCAGAAGTGCAGTCCTATTCATTTTCGACGCAAGGCCATCTTGCCCTTTCATGAACAACCTGCTGAGCCTCCTGGGACTGGGCCTGCCTTGTCCCGCGAGTGCATACACTCCGTCCGCGTATGCAGGCGGAGTTTTCCTTGTGAGATGACTACCTGAAAAAAATAGAAAAATTAGTAAATTTCAAACGCAGATTGTATCTACTTTATAAGAAAATACGAGTGCAAAATAGTAGATATACTTTAGTTTCTATTTCCATGTAGTTACAATATGCATGGTTAAGGCATTTAGCAATTTTGGTGACAAATGTGCAGATATAAGACTTCAAAAAGGTACCCAGTAGAAGTCATTTTAAGTATGAAAATAGATAAAATAAAATACGCAAAAGAATAAATAAGTCTACTTACACCTTAATATACTAAATAAATCTAAAGATTATTTAAAGGCTCGAGAAAAGCAAGTCATATGCAAGTTGGTTCGATTGATGTTCAAGTTTGGTTTTGTACTTTGATGCAAGCCTTCTAATTTCTTGTGTTATATTGGAGTCCTGGCGGATCAGCCAATTTGAGACATATTTTGGTAGTATTTTTTTTAAGAATTTTATTTTGCGACCTTTGTAAAATGTATATCTTGGTTTGAATTGCACTACTCACACTTACTTTAGTAATTTGAAAAAATATAAACTGATATTTTTATCGTGCATAGATGCTAATGATAATTTTATGCAAATATTTATTTTGACCATTTAAACAAAATCATATTATTTTTACACATAAAACGCGCAATTAAAAACTAATTTAGTTCATTATCGAGTTTAAAAAGTTGCACTTTGTGTTAGTATTTCTAATGTGCTCAGAATAAATTCCTCACGCATATTGTTCATAAATAATATTTGTATTACTTTTTTAATCACAAGATTGTAAAAATATAAAGTTAAATTCACAATCTTATGATTCAACTTATGACACAAACATTTATGTATGAATATGTATCATTATTTTAGTTTACGTCTAGTATATTTGTTTATTCCAACCTTCATAATTAAATCGATATTGAATCATAAATATTTTTTGGGTAGAATACCTCCTCAGGGTAGAAAAACCCACATTCAATTCAATGTATATACAAATATAATGAATAAAATTTTTATTTCTGTTAAAAAAAAATCATAAATATTTTTCTCAATTTATTGAAAGTCTGCATATTAAATCTTTATATATAATAAGAGAAAAAAATATTGATTAATTTATTGAGCATTGTTTAAAAGCAATAATCTTCATAATGATTTCTAATAGTACACAAATGTATTTAGACAACGCTTATTCTTTTTCTATATTGGCAATTAGAGTTATACTTTTATTGTTTGTTTAACCTTTTTAGATTTATGTTATTTGAGTGTAATTATTTTGATTTGTTTCTCATTTTATTTATTGATGAAATAATTTCTTTCTTTTCTTTGCCTGCAAATAATGAATGATGCACTAATTACAGTATAAAAAATATTATTTGTCTAGACATTGAATTAAGTTTCCTAAAATAAAAATACAAATCAATATTTTTATAAATACTTATTTAGGAACAAATTATTATTATGGTTTTAAAAAAATGTAACAATGCAGATACTTTTGATGTAATTACCGATTGGCGTTACTTTGTTATAGATTTTCAAACATGTTTATCTCCTGATAGCGACATGGCTTGATTTGAGGCAATTGCTGATCGAACTTATTTTCCCTTTACTTGCAAATATTGTTGTTATAAAATTCCTAACTTTATTTACTGATTTATGAGATATTGGTAGTAAAGCTTTGTACTCGCGGACGGATTATATATTTGAGTGATTATTATAATAATAATAAAAAGTTTATGTTTGAGGTCAATTATCAACCTTTTTGAATATTTTTTCTAAATAACTTCTAAAATTCTTTCAATTGATAAATTTTCCTGTTTTTATTTTCACAAAACAAAAATCATTTTAGTATTTAGTAAGCTTAAAAATTACAAAATCGTCGTAAACAAAATTTATTTCATATTTTGACGACGTTTTTCCCTATACTTCACAAGAAAAATGTATATGTGTGTTTGTAAGCAATGCAGGGGGAAGTTTCGTAACGCCGGACGGCACCTAACGCCGGACACTCTATTTAAAACGTATTATTTCAGCGAGTATAAATCTTTTCATTTCAAAATGCAAGTGAAAGGGGCGAGGGGGGCACACAGGTGCAGGATCATCGCCTGTGAAGCACACGGCCTCGGCGGGAGCAACCCTTTGCTGTTTTAGGCGCAAAATCACGGCTGTTTTAGAGACAATATCTAACAATATTTGTCAAAAACATATGTGCAGACATTCCAGAGTATGGAGATGGCTACATATGTGTTCAATGCAGGTTATTCTGAAATGTTAGGTACTATTTTCTAGCAAAGGTTGCGTGTTTGATAATTTAATTAGATTTTTACCTTTGATGTCTAGCATAAGTCATATTTGAATAAGATTTTGCATAATATTTTTTTGATTTATTTATGAACAACCTTAGGTGTCCGGCACTCGGAGACTTCTCCCTTGTTTGGATACAAATTTCATAAGCTTTTGAGAGAACAAATCAACTTGATTGATTTAGAAAATTGATTTTTACTAAAAATATTAATAATTCATCAGTTTTAGGGAAATGGAAGTTAAGCGGATTTGCAGATACAGAAAAAATGCAAATGATTGCCATCAGGTGTTGAAGTTCATCATTCATCATCATTTGTACAATCGTAAATCATCATATTCGTCATTTTAAGAAATTGCACGTGCTCATACAAAATATGTAAAATAGGTTCATATTATATGAACAATAAATCTATTATTTTCAGCACATGCTCAATAATAGCCTCGATAGGATCATTTAAGGAAATTTTATAGCAACCGCACCTATGCAAAGGTCGTAAAAGATATCTGCCGTGAACCGAGCACGAGCTCGTGCAGTGACATGTATGCAATTATGTTGTAATCTCAATGAAATGATGTGCAAAATGTAACATGTGCACATATCGATTTAATAACATGTCTGTCATAATAATAGACATTCTCGACACATGAATCATATCCTACAGCAGGTTGCTATAGAATAGAAGAATCAAGATGTAGATCAGCCGCGTGTCAATGTGGCTTTGACAGGTTCGGGTCAAGGAACAATTGTGCTGGAGATGTGAGACTTTGTAATATATTAAACACAACAATAGACTGAACATATATTACTATTACAATGTAATTACTTTCGTATTATAACTGTACAAGTTCAATATGCTAATACAATTCAACAACTAGTGATGCATGGCGTCGTGCCTTAAGGAAAATTGTTGGAACTTCTCGTACTATAATTTGAAATTTTAGCTAGTAGTGTATGGCATCGTGCCCCAAGGCAAATTGCTGGAACTTCCCGTGCCATAACGAAATGTTCGAGGAATTTTAAATGTTTTCAAATCGATTATAATAAATACTGTAGCATTGTCTATTATTTCTAACAATTATATAAACACAATAACAAAGTTAAAATCATTTATTTAAAGTATATAAGTGAGCTTTAGAACTTTAGGCAGAATTAAAATTAAATTCTGATTTATTTTTGATATACAATTTGAAAAAAAAAATCCAAAAGCGATTGTTTTGTCAACACAACCAGAATTTTTTTTAAATCGTTCAAATCGGATGCTTAGTTCTATCAGAAATGGCCAATTTTTGTTCATTTAGCTCTTTATTATCCAAATGGCAAAAATGCCTTTGCCAAAAACTAATCACCACTTCTCTCTACCAATACAAATTGAATATTTTTTGATCATTCAAATCGGATTCTCCGTTCTCTCAAAAACTCCATTTCTATTTTCTGCACTCTTTGTTTCGTATCTCCGCAACGGGTGGACCTGCCTTTGCCAAAAACTAATCAACACATCTTCCTATCAATAGGAATCGAATGTTTTTTTAACCATTCAAATCGGTTGATCCGTGCGCCCGAAAACGTGGGCGAAAAATTTATGTGAAAAAACAAAACACACGCATCCATTTTTCTTGAGGTATGCCAAAATGTTCAGAAACTAGTGAAACGTGAAGATATGTAGAAATTTTCATTTTAGATTTTCGGCTCATTACTATAACTTACCCTACGGGAAGTTAATTAAGCTTTAAGCATAGTAGTAATGAGCCCGATTCGCGTGCCTAAGGTCCTAGGATCGATTCCTGATACTGTGTATGTAATACTAATTAATTACTAATAATATCGCATATGAATTTGAATAAACTGTGGATATATTGTATATACTAAATATGTTATACATACGTACTTGAAAAATATTAAATAAAATAGAACAATTGTATCAAATGTATCTAAAAATGAAGAAGTTGAAACAAATGAAGAAGTTAAAACCAATATGATGTAGAACATTGAGTAGATTTAGTGGGCATCTATTAATCACGTGAGTAATTTCTGACAATTTTTGGAAAGTATGTAAGAAAGAAAATATATAAAAACTAATTAAATTTTAATTTTTAAAGTTTTAAGCAATGAATAGATATGTAAAAGAAGAATTAGGCGTTTAAATTAATATCTAATATAATGTAGAGCATTGGAGAGAAAAGGGTATTGGATAATAACATAAATAGAATTTAGACTGTAAAACAAGAAATTTAATATTGTAGTTTCAGTAGAGTATTAAGTTTGCAGATATTACATTGATTCAAATAGATGACAAACTATATTATGTATTAATCTTAATCAATCAATCTGATCAGCTCACGAAAAATAATTTTTGTTTTTGTTGTTAAATGCTTGTTTCAGAACTATAAACCTGGAACAAATGAAAAATTGTAGATTTTTATTATCTTCCTAAATGTATTGATAGATCAAAAACTTATTGACAAAATAAATAAATGTATGTAAAATTAAAATTATTGATCATGCTTCTTTATCCTTATGGTCGAATGTTGCATTTATTGATCTAAATAATCATTTTAAAATAATCTATATATTTATAAATATGTAATATAATATATTATGCACATAAATAGACAACTGGTACTATTTTTTGGAGATACAAAGAAAATTTTAAACGGATGGACATTTGGCAAAGATTCAAATTAAAAAGAAAAATGTGCAAAAACGAGGATTTGACTTAAAGA